AAGCCTTTGACTCCTGCAAATTTATATATCCTTATTACCTCTCCATGCTTCCTTTACATTTTCTTAATTTCTTCTTTGCACATCCCACTAAAAGATGTCTTTGCATATTTTGAGCAGGTAATACATTTTTATTTTTAAAGGTCTCATATTTTTTAAAGATTTATTTATTTATTTGAAAGTCAGAGTTACACAGAGGAGAGGCAGAGAGAGAGAGAGAGAAAGAGAGAGAGAGAGGTCTTCCATCCGATGGTTCACTCCCCAGTTGGCTGCAATGGCTGGAGCTTCGCCGATCTGAAGCCAGGGGCCAGGAGCTGCTTCTAGGTCTCCCACGTGGGTGCAGGGGCCCAAGGACTCGGGCCATCTTCTACTGCTTTCCCAGGCCATAGCAGAGAGCTGGATTGGAAGAGGAGCAGCCAGGACTAGAATTGGTGCTCATATGGGATGCTGGCACTTCAGGCCAGGGCATTAACCCACTGTGCCACAGCACTGGCTCCAAATTTTATTTTTTGATGCAAACTGAAACCCCTCTCCCTTAAAAATTGGAATAGTTTAGCCCATTTACATTTATTCTGAGAATTTATCTACTTAGCTCTATTTTGTTTGGTTTTATGATTTCTACTTTTTATGCTCCCCTTATTCCTTTTCTCTCCTTTTTTTTCTGACTTTTGGTACAAAGGTTAATTATGGAAAGCTTTGTGGGGGGTGTAATTGACATGCAATCAACGCACATGAGTATTGTGTGTTATGATGTCTTCTTTGTATACATCCATGAAACAATCAAGATAATGAGCATCCCTTCACTCTCAAAAGCTTCCCATTCCTTTTAGTAATTCTTCTACAACACTCGACATCACCCCTGCCACTGTTGATTTTCTGTCACTCTAAATCAGTTTGCACTTTCTAGAATCGTATGTGAATGGAATCACACAGTTTGTCCTGTTCTTTGGCTTCATTCGCTGAGCATCGTTGCTCTGAAATCCACCCGTGCTGTAATGTGCATCAGCGGAACTCACTTGGTGGAGGATCCTGGGTGGAGGCTTTTCCTCCCTACGTGAAAGATGCTCCTGTCTTCCCATTTGCATGGTTGCTGACAGGAGCTCAGCCATCATCCCATTCCGCCTGACACATTGTCTTCCTGAATGCTGCTTTATTGCTAAATATTATTCCAGTGTGCAGATATACTACAGTCTGTGTGCCCATTCAGTAGCTGATGGGCATTTGAGTTTTCAGATATGACCAGGCTATGGGCATTTGTGTCTAAGCACTCAGGCCATCTTCCACTGCTTTCCCAGGCCATAAGCAGAGAGCTGGATTGGAAGTAGAGCAGCCGGGACTCAACCGGGCGCCCCTATGGGATGCCAGCACCGCAGTCGGAGGCTTAGCCTGCTACACCACAGCGCTGGCCCCTATTATTTCTTCAAGTACTCTTGCCCTCCATCTCCCCTACTTCAGAAACACCAGGTATGTGTGCACTATGTTGCTTCAAGTTGCCCAACTGCCCCTACACTTTGTTCATGAAAAAACAAATCCTCTTTCTCCATATTTCCCTGTGGATAGTTCCTACTGTCGTGTCTTCAAACCCATTCGTCTTCTCTTCTGCAATGTTTAAACTGCTCTGGATCCCACTGAGGGCATTTTCCACTCCATATACTGAAATTTTCCCCTTTCGAGCGTCTGTGTCTTAACTCCTTGAGCACACGGAATACAGCTGCTATCACTTGGAGCTGATGCAGCACCTGGATGAGTTGCAGGTCAGTGTCTTTCTTTTCTTGTTGGTTGCATTCTTTTCCTACTTCTTTGCACCTTCATCTTTTGGTAGCTGCCAGACAATGTGAATTTCCCCTGTTGGCTGCTAGGTATTCCTGCGTTCTTGTAGATAATCTTGACCTTCCTGGCGTGCAGGTCAGTTACTCAGAAGCAGCATGACAGCATGATACTGTGGGGTCTTGTGTTGAACATTTTCTAGACAGGACCAAAACAGTATTAATACTAGAATACTAGTACTAGTGCTAACACTAACACTAGCTTCTCCCCACTACTGAGGTCAGGTATCAGGTCCTGTGGGCTGCCCGGAGGAAGCGGCACTGCCCCTGACCCTGTGTCAGCTCTGGACAGGTTGCTGGCAACCCTCATGGGCAGGCATTGCCTTGGTCGTTGGTGGTTTACACACACACACACACACACACACACACACACACATGCTGAACACTCAGGGGCCGTCTGCTCACCCCCGGAGCTTTCTCTGTGTGCAGCCCCTCTTTCTTGTGTTCCATCCTGCACGCTGCAGCTACCCTGGTCTCTCAGGACCCTCAGTCCCATCTCCCCGACTGACAGTTGCCAGACTCAGCCAAGTTCACCTTCCTACCCCCGGGCCTGGAGGCTGTCTTCAGGCAGTAAGCTGTGACAGTCACGGGCTCACTTCATGTGTCCCACCTCTCCGGGGGATGTGACGCGTCTCCAAGGTGACTGCTTCAGGTGCCTTGTCCATTCTGCTATTGCTGTTACCGTAGGCAGGGTGATAAACTCGTCTCCATTATTCCACCTCGGCTGGATTCCTATTCACTTGTTTTCCACGGTTATTTTTATCTTTAATGATTTGGAATTGGTAAAACCTTTTAATGAATGCTATGTTTAAATTTTTAAAAAGTTATTAGGTTCACAACTGTTATGGACTGAATGTCTGCATCTCTCTAAAATTCATATAGTGAAAGGAACCGAGTATTTCAACAATGTTAAATGTAATCAAACTAGTATTCCAACAGTGTAAGAAATGATCTCTTAATTGCCTTTGGCAATAATGAGATATTTAGCATGCTGCTCCAAATTATCCATCACATAGAAAAAGATCATATTCAAATAACTACTTTTAAACATTCGCATTGCTAAATTAACGAAGATTACACTGACAAATTTAGTTCAATTGCTCACCACCTTGTGTAATTGCATCCTTCCCATTCTCATTTACATATTAATTTTCCAATCAACTGGTTGTGCGATCGGCTAAGTGGACCTTTATTTGCCTAAACAAATCTCCATGTTCCCATGAGTGACCGCCAGTGTTCAGCCTGTCACTGCCTGCCTGTGCCTCCTTGTAGAACTGGCAGTGGTTTCCATCTCACACGTGCCATCCTCACCCCAGGGGCTTCCTGTCCAGGCCCGAGCGAGCCTTCCTGGTGGACGAACGTCAGCAGAGGTTTTCCACTCTTCCTCCTGCTTCTTGCAGTGGCTCTGTCTCTTGGAGGGCATTGTGTCTAGTCTCTCAGATGACTCTTAAGCTACTGAGCTTCCTGCCACCCAGAGGCAGCCGTGAGGGGAGCAGTGGGGAAGGAAGAAGCTCCTACTTAGTGGAGGACAACCTTACTCTCCATCCAGGCTCCCGCTGGCGCTGCATGGCTCCTTCTGCAAAGGTACAATGAAGAGAGGAGATTGCAGTTTCCTGTGTCAGAGTGGAGCCCCGGTCCTGTGTGTGGCACTGGTGGGATCCACAGGAACTTGGCTGAACGCTTCCATTCTCGTATTTATTCAGGTGGCTGGGGTGCCCCGGCACCCTGCTCTGCTCCTCCCAGGACTCTACTGCTGCAGCACCCCCGCATCCTCCAGCCCTTGGTACTTAGCTCTTGGAAACAGGGTGCACCCCAGCACCTTGCTCACTTTCCTGAGGCCAGGATTGGCCTTGCCACATCTTGCCAGGGTGCCGAGCCCCTCACTGCTGTCCACATTGCTGGCTGCCAATGGGAGCTGCCTTCTAGATTGGACCCACCCTCTTCCTCTTGAGGCAGCCTTCCTCACCCGCAGTGACTGGGGGTGGGCTGACCCTGGAGCCCATCACTTCCTGCTGCATTGCGTATACCTGGTCTGGAGGAATTCCTGGAAGGGAGAGGACATCGTATTCCCATGTTCATACCTCGTTAGTCACCAGTGGGGAGTTTCAAAGGAGAAAGAGGGCTTCAGCTTGTGGGTTAGCGTCACGCTCCAGGACCACACCAAGCTCTAGAACGTGGCATCGCTTCACTGCCCTGACCCACGCACACAGCTGCGCAGTGTGTTCCCGACAAGAGATCTTGGTGACTCCAGTGAAGGGGAGACAGATGGCTTTGGGGCTGGTGAGGACCTAGGTTCCCTGAGGCCACCTGGGGTGTGCCGAGATGCCCAAGGATGAAGGCAGGGGGGACTCTCAGCCAGGCGGCTGGCGGTACCTGGGTAGTGGGTCTTCCTGGAAGCAGTGGGCCTGTGGTGAGGACGAAGGCTGCTTTTGTAGAGCATGGTGAGGGCAATCGGGCAGTGGGAAGTGGCGGAAGAGGATGGCATGGGTCTCTGAGACCTAAGCATGGACTCAGGCTGCCCCACGTGCTAACCTCTGGCCATGGGGCGTCCCCTCACTTGGAAGCCTGTGTTCTGTGCTGTAAGCAGGAGCAGTAACAGACGACCCTGAGGACTGAATAAGGCACCACGTCCAACTCTTAAGCAGCAGGTGCACAGCATGGGGGCAGGGGCGTGGGGATGATCAGAGGACACTGAGACCTGCAGCACTTGTTTGACTAGAGAAGGGGGAGGGGGCTCTTTGCTCCCCTCTCCCTTCCTCCCGCCCCTCTGGGCCTCTCCATTCCCCACTCACTCTTTGGGGCAGCTTCTTCGCTCTGCCTGCCTCAGGTTCTGGCCTGACCTGCTTCCACTCCAGCTCCTACTGCCGCCCTGCAGCGCCGGCCACGCATCGTCGTTTGCAGCCCTCCTGCCCCGTCCTCACACCGCTGGGTCCACTGTCCTTTGCAGGGCTGTTTTCCGATCCACACGGCCTTCCCCTTCTCAGAAGACTCTAGCATTTTATCACCTCCCTTCCCAAGTCGGCATCCATTATAACCAGGTTCAGCTTTCCGCATGGGAGAAATCAGTGGTCTTGTGTGTTTACCGTTTCCATACACGGGCCCACTTTTCCAACTTCTGCTCCCCCAGGAGCCGGGAGAACCGAATACCAGACAGAAACTGGGCCACAGACACTGGGAAGCCAAGCACGTTAGATTTACTAGGGCAATATCTGCAGGTGAGATAACAGCACGCACGTACAGAAACCCACGGGCGGGGCCGCCACCCCCGCGACACGGTCAGACACCAAAGCAGCAGAGGGTCAGGAAGTGGCATCGGAAAGTTCTCGCCAAAATCCAAGGGCAGCTTTGGTGCTCAGAGATTCAAACAGAAAACTATACAAAACCAATCCATAAATATATATATATTATATATGTGTATATATATATAAAATTGCAAAATAAAAGCCCAAGAAACTAACCATCCATCTGCACGTCAGTGGCTCAAAACGTGTTAGCATAGAGGCAAAACCGCTCGTGGGGGTGATTCATGATCGGGGCACTGGCATTTCGATAGCAGGAAGAGTATTTACATGGAACCCCTATCCGAAACCACACGATACTGGGAGAGCTACACAGAGACAATGTATGTACAAGGGAACACAGCAAGGAGTACTCTCGCGTGACGATTGTCAAACATAGACACCGCGACCACCCATAGCATTACAGAACACTGCACCCTCTGTCTAGACTGGGGTCCTGTTGCCCTGCGCCCCAGCCGGGCTATCCCAGGCTCTGCACTGTTCTCCCGTGAGAGGGAGAGTGTTGGGACTCAGAGTCGTGGCACAGGTTGCAGGAATTTAAAGGGGAGCCGCTCCTTGGGGATCAAGTGCCCACCCACAAGGAAGGACCGGTGGGCATGAGGTGGAAGCGGCAGGTGGGCGCGGCTGCCCTGAAATCTCTCCCCACGGTGGAAAGGGGCTTTGATGTTTCTCAGGTGTGGGTCCTCTGTCCCTTGGGCTCTCACACGGCACGATCTGCTGCAGGGGACAAAGCTGAGGGTGTTTCTGCAGTTAATCTGCAAGCAGCCCCTCAACTTGTGCAAGGTCTTCCACATACTGGTCAGAGGAAGGGATGCACCCGTCACAGCTGGCCACATCATGATGCGTGGGAAAGGGTGGGCGAGGAAGGGAGCAGAGACCCGCCCCTTCTGGGGAATGCCCCAGGCTTTCCCACACCGGGGCGCCGTCTCCAACTACCCTGACCTCAGCCCTGCATCAAGGCTCACGCCCCACTTTCTCAGAGTGATGACCCGACTGCCGGGGAAACCGCTGATGTCAACTGCCACCAAACATCCATTCGACAATCCCTAACGCCACCTAACTACGGACCAATATAAACCATCACTTCCACATTTTCAAGAGCACTGTCAACTGGAAATTTTCCCTAGGAAGAGAAAACTACATTCGCAAGGGAGCTGTCTGTCCCTAGAAGCACGAGGCGAGGCGCCTCGCCTGCTGAAGGACATCACCCCGCTAAGTGGAAGGCGGCTTCTCACTGCACACGGCAAGGGGGAGCTGCGCCTCGCTGACAGCTCTCTGCAGGGTCTCTCCTCTCTGACCACGAGCGTTCACATCCAGGTGATGGGTTGGTTGGACAGGGCTTTGGAAAGAACCACACACCAAGGATACCTTTTTTTGTATTGCAATGCAAATGGTAATGTGCACAGATGATAACCAGTGAGTCCATTTCATAAACGTGGAGTCACATCAGGCCTCCAACGCTTTGCATTGAATGAGCCCTCCCAGGACAGCTGTGGAACAGATGATGTGCTGTCCCAGCAGACTCTGAACTGGAGGGATCCCTGTCCTCTTAGTGAGAGCGGAGTGCACAGGTTTATCCTCTCTCCGGATTTCTCACACAGTTGAGCTCATGTGATGGAGAAGGCATAAGAAGCCCTGTTTCTGCCCCGCTCCAAGTCAGCTGCAACCACACCAACCAATCAAGGGCTTCTGCCGACCCGCAGGTGCAAAACGAATAAAGGATAAATGTTTCTCGTTTGTTTGATATTCCAGAACTGTGCGCTTCTGGCCTTGAGCTAGAACAGAGGAGTCACTCTTACTGAAAACCCTGGCCTATAGGCCTACGGTAGGCTCCATGTCTGTCCATCTGTATGCATTCCCTCGTGGAAACATCCAAACTTATTTTTAACCTCTTAGACCTTTGGGAAGTGAATCATCCTGTTCTTTCCAATCTGCCACAACCAAAGAAGTGGATTGAGAGCGGCAAAAGACGTCCGACCACCTCCCATATTGGGGGAGGAGGGGGAGAGAAAGCAAGAGAGCACACAAGAGTGAGACAGACCCCCACAGGGAACAGGACGCAAGGCTCAGCCCACATGAATGCGTGGTGCCTGGCAGTGCTTCACACAGTGGGGTTCCTCCTCTAGGTCCTGCTGCTCCTCGCCCAAGTCCTTTACAAGGATCTTATCTGCACGCAGCGGGAGCAGCTCATTTTGGCTACTGCAGTGTTGAGTGGGTCATTTCTTGTGGATGACCTGGCTACAGAGTTACTTGAGTCACCTGCAGGCAAGCAGGCTCTTAGGGGCCCAGCCTTTTGTAGCTTTGGGGGAGGTCATGTGGAATGGCTGGTTCCCCCATGCCGGGACTGGAAATCAACCAACAGCGCACAGAAAGTCGCTGAGGCCAAGCCTCTTTGTCACCATCTACCCCTCTCTTCTCCCTGCCCCTGCCATCTTTCCATGCAAACAGGCTCCACAACCTGTCCACTTCCTTGCTCAGCCAGCCACAGAGTGGGAGATTCGTTCAAAATGTCCTGTCTCTTGTCTGTGGCATATCCAAGCACAGCAACACATTTAGAAACAAACCCATTGCCTACCACTTCTGAGCTCTCGAATATATTTTCTCCAGGTACTCACTGGTACAACCCAAAGCTTAGAGCCAACTTTTATCCAGAACCACAGAAATGTCCTTTCCTCTTACCCCAGGAGCTAAGGTCTTGCTGGAACTGCACATCCATTTTACAGCACTTGGCATACAGCCTCGAGCCTGGAGCTAAGCATGCCATGGCCTGTGCATCCAAGAGAAGAGGAGGCGGGGAGAACGGCCGACAGCTACCCAATATTCCCCTCTCCTTCCTGGAAGCCTTTCTGAAGACGCTCCATCCACAGCATTTTATGGAAATGAATTCTGGAACAATGCAGCATGCAGTGGGCCATCAAATATGCTTTAGTGTTGACGTCGGAAATTCCTCATCAGATCTCCCACACCCCCAGCTCTTGCAGTCCATCTCACTCAGGCACCAGAGGGTTTGTCTCCAAGTCTAACCACGATTCACTCTAAGGAACCGCCCTCAGTGGCTCCCGACCCCTTACGTGATAAAGCCCAGCTCCTTCACACCTCCTACAAGTTTCCCCAGGAACCGGCTTGCCCACTGCAAGGAGAAGCATCCCCACTGCCTTCCGCTCTGTGCTCTGTGTGCACAGCACGTGGAACACACCATGAAGTCCCACGCATCCAGGCCTCTGCGTGCATCCTGAACTCACCCCGGGACGCCCTGCCTAGCCTTTTCTTCTCCTGGAAAATTTCTCCTGGTTTGGAAAACCTAGCTCGGCCATCACTCCTTTCAGGAATTTTTCTTCTGGTCTCCAAGACAGTTCACCATTTCCTGCCCGGGGCCTTGGCACCCTCACCTGCTCTGTGATTTGTCCGCATGCCTCCTGTTGTCATGAGCTTCCTAAGGGCAGGAAGAAGATGGCCTACCCTCGTGCCTGGCTCGTGACCTGACTGCAATGCCTGCCTTTTATTCTTACACCAGGAATAAACAAAATGCTAAGTGGGTCCCCAAGGCAAGGCCCCGACATTTTCACCTCGATGCCGCCTGTCTCACTGTTACAAAGGGAACAGAGAGAGCAGGTTAGATGCTGTCACTCAACATCCTGTCTGCACCACAACCACTCACAGCCAGCCACACAGAGGCCACGCCCAGTCCACCCTTGTCTCCACACTGTTGCCACTTACTACTCTAGTCACAATGACTGCTTTCTCATCACGTCAGCACAATGCGGGATGCTCAGTGGATGCTTAGCAAATACTGTGAAAGGCCGAATGAACAAATGTGAAATCTGCTTTTTTTAAAGAAGGCATCCAAGGATTGGTTTCTATAGGCATGTCCCATACAATAGATTTTTCTGAGGCACCAGGGCCTCTGACCATTGGGCTGTCCACCAGAGACGTGACCCAGTCAAGAAGCAGAGCTGAGAACGGGGCCCGGGGTTGCAGCCAGGAGTCTGCCCTACAAGTCCTAGGTTTGCCTTGGCCACATATCAATGCCTTCCTTCTCAAGAAACAGCAGGGTGACAGGGAGACAGGTTCTGCCTTGCCCTTGCAGAGGTCCATGCTGGCACTCCACAGTCTACATTAACCACGAACTTAAGGTGCCCAACGCAGCCAGACCCAGGCAGGCTGCTGCTACCTCAGTGTCAAGTGCTAACATCATGGAGTGGAGACCAGTCTCAGAAATGAGTCCTCAGCCCAATCACACTTGGGGATTAAAGCTGTCCTTTCACCATATCTGGAATGCAGGCTCTGGGTCTTTCTATCCACGTCACCTGGGGCAAGTCAACCATCCTGCTGACGGTTCCATGTCCTCACCCATGAAATGGGAATGGCACTTCCCGCCGCACAGGGTTAGCAGGAGGGCTAAAAGATGTGATGGATGGGAAACCAGCACAGTGTCTGTGTGTAGAAAATGCTCAAAAATGGGTGAACTGCGATAAGAAGTTCCAAAAATATTTTTACAATAATCAAGACAAAAAGGGAAAATATTCTTTGAGGACACTGTGCTTTAAGGAGGATGGATTGTCTAACTGTCAGAAGCCCCCGGTACTCATGGGTGCCCCGTGGATGAACACAAACACACAATGCTGGCACCTGAAACAACACTGGCGGCTTCTCTCGGGCTCTGGGAGGGTCAGAGGGTGCCAGGGCTGGGGACACCCACCCACTTCGCTGGCAGGCCAAGAGGATGCGTCTCAAAGGGCTCCTCTGTGGCTCCCCTCTGCCGGACCAGAGTGACACAGAGTTGGAACCAAAGGAGCCAGAGTGAGGAGCCAAGATAAGACGCTGCCGTGGCTTGTGAGCAGGCGCTCCTGGGCCTGAGGGCAGGACAGGCCCCCCGACACTGACTACAGCACTCCACGTGGCAGGCACAGCGCTTCCTCTGCTCTTCTGACCTCCCCTGTACAACCCAAAGCCTACGAATGATCTCAATTTCTCCAAATGCCTGCCCTGAGCATGAGACAACTGATTCCTATGCTAAATTTGGTTTTCGTTAGGAGGCGCCTGAGATGCATGATTCCAATGGGTGCAGCTCCTGGTGTCTTCTATCGATTCAACAGCCCCTGGGGCTCAGGCTTCCTCAGCCTGCCCTCGTGTCTGCCAACTCTACCAACTGTTCTGTCCATCATTCAAGAGGTTCCATGAAGCCAGCTCAGGGTCAGTGTCTGGGGAAGGACAAGCGAAGCCATCAGCCCTTGGGAACAAAGAGTAACTTCTGTTGGAGGGGATGGGTCAATCTGTCTGGTTGCTTTCAGCAGCAGGGCAGGGACCCAAAACGAAGAGGAGAGATTTCTGAATGGGGGGAGAGAGGGAGGGTGGGAGAGGGAGAGGGAGAGAGAGAGAAATTGATTTACCACCAGGAGACTGGATTCCTGCATGGAAATGGACCTTACTCAGGAAGCCTTGGCCTGTCTGACTCAGTTGCAGCCTTTGCGAGCTCACAGCCCGTTTCTGGCCTCCTTGCCCTGGGCTCAGATTGGTGGGCAACATCCCGACAAAGGCGGCCCACAACTCGGCAGTGTTGTTTAGAGGAAGGAGCACTGGACTGGGAGTCAGGAGCCCTGAATTCTGGTACAGGCTCTGCTGCTCACCAGCCGTTGACTGCGGGCAAGTCACCTGGTTTCTCTGGTGACTGTCAAATGTGGGACTGGCCAGGCGAACGGCAGGTTCCCCTCCAAGTGTGATCCAGGGTCCAGTTCTCTCCCGTCCTGGCCCTGCGCTTCCAGGGACAGAGATGGGAGAAGGAAGGGGGAGAGGAAGAGGAGGGTGCAGACGGAACCCGTGGGTGCCCCAAGTCAGGACTCCACTTTCTCCTTCTTTTTGCTCTTTTTCAGGAAGGAGGGGGTTCGGAACTTCTTCTTCTTCTTTGAAGGAGACTTGGAAGGGGAGCCCTCGGGCGACATGGGGCCGCTGGTGACCGACTCGGTTTTGTCCTTGGAGGTCTCGACGTCCGTGTCAGCCTGTGTGGTCATCTGGCCCAGGCTTTTGCTCAGGAGGTCCTCTGCCGACGGCTCCTCCTCCCTCCCGTTCACCACCACCCCCTCCGGCTGGGCTGTGTCGGGCTCTGTGGTGTCTTTGCTTGTCTCTGTCGTCTTAGCATCTTCTAGAAAAAGATTGAAAAAAAAAAACAAAAACAAAACACCATGACCCATAAGATTTTACTCTGATGCGAGCGTCCACCTGGATCAACAGAACCGTTTCTAGGCAATTCTGGAGGGTAGGTCCAAGGACGAGGGAGGACAGACTGGCCCGGGCGGGGGGAGCAGGCTCTCGGAGGGAGATGGGAGGGCGGGGAGCATGGCCAGTCCCTGCACCTCCTTCCTCCCGACTGTCCTGGGGAACACACCCTGGCCTCTTCTCCACAAATCTGAACAGATGTGGTGTCTGAACGTGGCAGGCGCCCAGCGGGGGCTCAGGGCAGTGTTTCCAGGCACAAAACGAGGACCAGACTCAGGGGAGGAGAGAGGCTGCAGGAAGGGGAGCGTGGACACCTCCGTGGAGGCATCTGAGAATGTTAACCTGCTCAGCTTTGCCGATACACAGAGGAAACCTCGTTTTCCTGCTTCCCACCTGGAGACTCTTCCCAGAAGGCAGGGAGCAGAGGGCGGAGGGAGGAAGGGGATTCCCTGAGTGACATGGACCCCACGCATCCCCAGGCTGTAAGGGTTACCAAAGGGGGCGCCTGCTCAGCCGTCCCCAGCCTGTGTTCCACCTGGAGAACCTGATGGGATTGTTGCCAGGTTTAAGCCCAGAGCTGCTCAGGCCCCAGGAGCTAAACCCTCCCCGTGCGCCCCCCTCTGCTTCCGTGCAGGCAGGAAGGTGATAACATTAGGGACTTTGAGCACAAACCAATGCGAAGATCCTCTGGCTCCCACACACCCATTTCCCAGCTAGGAAAACTGAGTGAAGCATAAAACACCGGGCAGGCCTGTGACTTCCAGTTCAGTGCTCTCTTTACCACATGACTGTGTGGGGTGTGTGTGTATGTGAGAGTATGTGTGAATGTGTGAGGACATATGTGTGTGTACACGTACGGGAATGGGTGTGGGCTATATGAGCTTGTGTGGTGTGAGTGCTAGTGTGTATGAATGCGTGTGAGAGTGGGTACAAGCATGTGTGGTGTGGGCATGTGAGAATGTTAGGTGTGTCTGTGTGAGAGTATGTGCAGGTGTGTGTGTTACCACATCGCAGAAAGGCACCTGCCCGCTCTGCTGCGTGGGGATGTGGCAGGGGGGACAGGTGTAACCAGTGTTACGGAAGCAGTGGGTGGGAAAGCCCAGGGTTGCTGGTGGGAGAAACGCCAGGGAAATACATGGCCACGTAGAGGGTGGGACAGAGCCGGGTAGATTGAGACTGCCAGGGTGGGTGGTGTAACCCCTGGGTGAGACCTCCTTATGAGGTTCTCCAAAACTGTGTGCCAAGCCACCACCTTCCCCAGGCCACTTCCAGAGACTCCCCTCTTTGTAAAAAAGACTGGCTGTGGGCTCCCACTCCCCCCACTGCCCAGCCTATGTCCTTTGCTACCCAGCTGCGAAACCCTCCTGTGTCCTTCCTCCTACAGCCCATCCTCCAGCCCTGGACCCCTGGGGTCACTGCTGGAAGCACTCTCAAAGGCCACCAACTAGTCTGGCCCGATCTTCCCTCCATCCACCCTCCTCATTCACTGCACCTGCTATTTGGCCTCTTCAGCCTGCCAGGCTCTGGACACAACGCCGCCTCCCGCTCCCAGGAGCCCAGCCTGTTTCCCTCTGTCTGCTCTGCCCCCAACCCTCTTCCCATACATTGAACCTGCCTGGGTGCTTCCCCTTTCGGAGAGTCTTTCCTGAGCCCCACTCCATGTCCATGCCTCCTCTACACACACTCCCGCCACACAACTGCAAAACACGCATGTTCGTTATCTGCGCCCACCGCCCACCTCCTCTGCCCTCCAAACACATCAGAGCAAGACTGTCCAGTCCTTTACCTAGCGAGCTCACAGACAGACCTGAGGAAATGCTTGTGCAGTCTACACATGGTGGAGCACACAGGCAGATAAATGGCTGTGTGAGTGGACCTATGCTCGCCGAGCCAATCCCATCATCAGCTCATCTTCATCTTTGTTGTCTGTCCCAGCCTGAGCCTTCTGAGTTCCACCTACACACACACACACACACACACACACACACACACACACACACCAGCACCACAGGCTGGCCTTGTCTCCCGGCCCTGTCCCTGCGGTCCTCACCCTCACCTCCTGGCTCCACACTTCAGTCCAGACCCACTGCAGGCCCTCACCTGGATGGGCATCAGGAGACACTGTTCAGCCTCTACCCTTCGTGCTCTCTCTCTGAAGATGACTGGCGGGGAGGAGCAGGGGGCGGGGCTGTGACACAGTAGGTTAAGCTGGGATCCCACACTGGAGCACTGGTTTGAGCCCTGGCTGCTCTGCTTCCAATCCAGCTCCCTGCTAATGCTCCTGGGAAAGCAGTGGAAGATGGGCCAGGGGCTTAAGATCCTGCCACTCACATGGGGGGGTTCAGATGGAGCTCTGGGACCCTGGCTTCAGCCTGGCCCAGATATCAGGGGAGTGAACCAGCAGAGGAGACCTCTCTCTGCCACCTTGCCTTTCAAATAAATGAAATAAATCTTTTTTTTTTCCTTTTTTAAAAAAGTTGATTCTGGTACTTGTCTTCTAGCTCCAGGAGCACAGCCATGGGTAAGCGGGTCTGCCACTTTCTTCTTTTTTCAAGCATTTATTTATTTGAAAGGCAGAAACACACACACACACACACACACACACACACACACTGATCTCTCATCTGTTGGTTCACTCCCCAAATGTCCCCACAACAGGTGGGGCTGGGCCAGGCTGGCTGAAGCCAATCCAGGTCTCCCACGTGGGTGCCAAGGGCCTAACCACTCGCCCTGTCACCACTGCCTCCCAGGGAGTGCATCAGCAGGAAACCGGACTCAGGAGCAGAACTGAGACTTGAACTTGGGCACTGGAATATGGGACTCAGGTCTCAGCTGGCGACTTAACTGCTGTACCAAATGCCCAGACCTCCTGCTTCCTGTCCGGGTGTCACTTCCTGTGCCAGTGGTGATGACAGCCCTCACTCCAACAGCACCCTTCGTCCTTGTCCCCTCGCCCCCACACACTCTGCTATCAACCTCATCCAGAGCCTCAGCCCCTGGTGTGCTTCGTGGTGGAGGAGAGTGACACTCGGAGTTGTTCTCAGTGTGGAAAATGAGGGCCATGCCCAGTACATCCACGTGGCCTCAGAGACCCCCAGATCATGAACTGCTTGGGAAGTGAGGCTGGGTGCTCATTCAGTGATGTTCAAAAAGACCCCCAAGGTGGGCATTTAGCCTCATGGGCAAGACACCTGTCACACACTGGAGCGCCTGGGTTCAATACCTAGCTCCACTTCCAATTCCAGCTTCCTGCTAATGCAGACCCTGGGAGGCTCAAGTACATGGGTTCCTTTTTTTTTTTTTTTATAAGATTTATTTATTTGAGAGGCAGAGTTAGAGAGAGAGGGAGAGAAAGAGAGAGATCTTCCACGCATGGGTTCACTCCCCAAATGGTTGCAATGGCCAGAGCTGGGCTTCTGGTCAGGAGCCAGGAGACAAGAATTTCTTCCAGTTCTCCCACACAGATGCAGGGGCCCAAGGACTTGGGCCATCTTCTGCTGCTTTCCCAGGCCACAGCAGAGAGCTGGATTGGAAGTGGAGCAGAGAGGACTCTAACAGGTGCCCATATGGGATGCTGGTGCCCCAGGTGGAGGCTTAACCTACTACACCACAGCGCTGGCTCCAGTACTTGGGTTCTCGCCACCTGTGTAGGAGACCTGGGTTGCTTTTTTGGCTCCCAGCATCAGCGCTGGCCACTGTGGGCATTTGGGGAGTGAATCAGTAGACGAGAGCTCTCCTCTGCTCTTTTGCTCTGCCTTTCAAATAAACAAATCTTCAAATTAAATAAAGGCCCTTATGGTACTCAAAGAACAGCCAAAGACTGGCAAACAAAACTGGATGCTGGCCATGAGCAGAGGCCGGATTCAAGTTTCCGCTTGGATTCAAATCCTCAAATACTGGAAATGTCAATGTCTTGAAAGAACCATCCAAGAGGCTTGTGGCAATGCAGCTTCATGGTCCTGTCCCCCAAAACAGCCTTGGATGCAGAAGGTGGACCTAGAAATACTTGTCTTTAACAAGGCCCCAGGTAATTCTGATACAAGAGCTCCATTGGCTCCACTTTGGGAAACAGAGGTTAAGAATGATGTGTCTCCTTCCACCTCTACCTCCCCAAAGACTGAGACAGCTCCATGGATAGGAAAGAGTGCAGAGTTTCTTGCAAGCAGGTGCCATGGTTTGGGACATAAAAGGTCCCTTGAGGGACCAAATACATCTTGAGTCTGGGGCTGAACAGGAGTGCAAATGAGGCCCAATGAGTCATGCCTCCAGGTATGCCCACGCTCCCCTCCCACAGTAAACCTGGGCTGCCCCATGGCCCGTGAGAACCAACAGAATACAGAGTAATGGATGTAGAGCCAGCCTCAGGCCAAAACTCGAGGCCTAGCAACGTCTGCTTTTGCAGTTTGGGGAGCTCTAGGCCACCAGTGAATACACTGATGGAATCACAAGGAGAGGCCACATGGCGGGAGGGAGGGGGAGGGGGAGGGAGAGAGAGAGAGAGAGAGAGAGAGACACCTGCCATCTCAGTATCCCAGCTGAGCCCTGTTTCCAGCTGTCTTTGTCAAGGTGCCAAACATGTAAGTGTGCCATCTTGGAAGTTCCAGCTTAGCCAAGCTGGCCCACATGGGGCAGAAGAATCTTCCAGCTAAGCCCAGTCAATGCTAGTGAATCCACAGAGTTGGATTCCATAAAAGTAGGTCTTATTCTACTCCATGATTTAATAATTATCTGTTGCTACATAACAAATCTGCTCAATACTTAGTGGCCTGAGACATCAAGTGGCATATGAGCTGTCACAACTCAGAAAACATGGTATAATAATAACAGGAATCAGTTTATGTAAGCATATTACAAAGTGCCTTTATATTCATTAGCTCAATTTATCCTGAACACAATGCTGTAAGGAAGGGGAAGGGTTCGTGTGATTCCCCCATTCTAAAAACCAGTGTTTTTAGATGACTTGAGATGACAAAATTAGTTAGTGACAGAGCTGACCATCTGATACCAAATACAGGGTGAAGGAGTCAGCTGGGACAGGGTCCGTCAGGGGCTAATCAAAGAGAAGGGGACGACACAGATGGCCAGATACAAAGGAAGATTTGGAAGATGCTTGAGAGGCTGACGGGGGAAAGTCAGGGAGACAGATGAGGAGTGACACCAGGTGACAGCAGGGGGGTTGGGGAGTATGGTGACAAATGGCTGAACAAAGCCATCCCTGATCTGATGGGTGAGCTGTGTATGAAAGTTAAGATACAGTCCTGTCTTCCCCAAGAATCTGGGTGAGCCCTGGAGCAGGCAGCCAAGGCAAGCTCCCAGGTGACTACAACTGGGGCCCTTATCATGTGGGGCCCGCAGCAAAGTGGCCACGCTCCCCAGCTGTGTCTGTTAGAGGAAGAACCTTCAGGGAAGGCCTTAGCTTTTCCAACAACTCAGCCACAGATTTGGATACACACACACAGAGGATACCCATGCACTAACACACATCATCCTAGGAGAAGGGATCTGCCCCAGAGAGAGCAAGGAATGTCGCTACAGTGAGTGCAATGCCAGGCAGTGGGTAAACAGTCAGCCCACCCATCACACAGCCTCCCACTCTCTGTCCCTCCCAGGAACTGACACGGGATTGCCACCCCTTGTCCCACTCCGGCCATGAGCCTCCTCTCAGCCCTGGTCAGGCCAGGCCCTCTGTGCATCCCTGTAAGGCAGTGGGTCCCCAGGAGAATTCAGGGTCCAGCCTGCAGCCCTAGAAGAGACTATGGGCTCCTCACAGGTGCCCATGCATGGCGACCAGGGATGGGTGCATCCATGAGGGCCATCAGCACCCTACCCACTCACAGAGGGCCTGATGCTTCCAGGTGGGGGTGTGCCCTGTGTGGGCGTGCATGTGTGCACATCCATGTCTCTCAGGGAAGCCTAGTCCATGCATAGCATACGTGGAATTGGTCATGAATTTCACAGCCAGGAAACCTCCTGGGGGCAGGGCTGTGCGGTCCAAAAGAAAACAAAGGGGAAGCAATCGATTTGGTTGGAAAGACCCTCCCTCCCCACTGCAAGTGTCAAGAGTGGGTCAGTAAACAGCCTCTCTATACTTACTACAGAGACAAGAACTCAGAACCGGAGGAAACGCCTGTGATGAAGGCACGAGTGGGAAGAGAAAGGCACACGTTGTGGACAGGTCGACAGCACGACACCACGATGAGACACACGGCTGGGAACGCACACCCCAGGACACCCACGTGGGGCTCGGGCCTCGAGAAGAAGGGTTTCCTCGGGCAGTGCTGGGTCTGCATGCAGGGCCTGGGGGAGTCTACCAGGACCCACATGTGTGGGGTCTACCCAGGAGGGAGCAGAGTCCAGCGGGCCAAGCTGCTGCTCTCCAGATGGCAGAGGAGCCCTCCGACCCGGGGGACGGATAGCCTCTGGGGGTCGCTGGGGGATGTGTCCAGGCCCTGGAGTGATCCCGGGAGCTCAGTGCAGATGCTGTGATGACTTAGGTGCCTAGAGCGCTAACAGCATGACCCTCCTCAGTGAGTATGTTGCTACCCACAATCAGATTCAATCTCACATTTAGAGCAAGCGTTTACCCTCCAATCCTTTTCACCTGCACTTCCCTTACACACGTAAGAACCCTAAGAAGGGAAGATATCAGTAGCCCCATTTGACAAACAGGGAAACTGAGGCAGAGAGAAAGTTATCTGGTTTGCTAAAATTAGCAACTGAGTCATTATTAGTTAGCAGCTCTGCTGGGCCGGGAACGCAGTTCTCTAAGCAGTGTCTCCCAAACAAAGCTGTCCTCAACCTGGACTACGCTTCCGATTCCTCAGCGGAACCCAACACCTGCAGGCTCTGCTCCTCCCCCCACCTTCCACTCCAGAAACACCAGCAGTGGGAGCCAGGCTTCCGGCTTCTTAAAGCTCCCAGGTGACTCCCAACATGCAGTTAAGGTTGAGAATGACATCATCAGCCTCATCTGGGAAATGCAGAGTCTCAGGCCCCACCCCAGAATTAATGGATCAGAATCTCCACTTGAACAAGACCCCTAGGTGGTCCCTATGCACCAGACACATGGACTAGTGCGCCGGGACAGGCCCCCAGCTGCCACGTCTTTGTTAGAGGTGAGGAGGCCGCGGGTCACCATGACTAGTCATCACGGCTTAGGCTGGGCATACATTGCAAGTGCGCTGTCATAGCTTGTGAGTGACACAGGCTGAAAATTAGGAACACTTAGTTCAGATTCCCTAGAAAGGCACGAGGGAAACTTTTGGGTTGGGGAGGGGGGGCAACACCTGATGGAAGGCAGGTACCTACAGCGTGGAAATCCCTCCTGCCTTCCACGCAGACCTTTCTCAGCCGGTGAACGGCCCCTCCCTGCCCGCTCAGCTCCACTCACCCTCTGCGGACTTGGAAGGAGAGACGGCGGGGCTCTTTGTCTCGGCCTTTGTCGGGCTCTGTGCTGGAGAGGCAGGTGCAGACTTCACAGGGGAGCCAGGCTCCTCTGTGGCAGTTTCTTTCTCTCCTGAAAACACAGACAACCACCTCAGGACAAAAGCCAAACAGAGGAGAGGTGGATGGAGAATGAGAGCACGTAAACATTTTTTTTCAGGGCTAGTATTGTGGCACAGTGGGTTAAGCCACTGCTTGCGAGGCTGACATCCCACACTGGTGCCAGTTCAAGTCCCAGCTGCTCCATTTCTGATCCGGCTCCCTGGAAAAACAGTGGAAGATGACCCCAATCCTTGGCCCCTGCACTCAGGTGGGAGACCTGGATGGAGCTCCAGGCTCCTGGCTTTGGCCTGGCCCAGGCCCGGCTGTTGCAGCCACCTGGGGAGTGAACCAGCAGATGGAACAGGTGCTCACGCTCTCACTTTCTCTGTCTCCTCTATGCAGCTCTGCCTTTCAAATACATAAATAAATCTTTAAAACCATTTTTTTTTTTTGGTTTGGTCATTTCTCCTGGCTGATAATGCATCTTCTGCTCCCCTACCCTTTTCTCGATTTTGCTGCTTCCTTGGGGAAGCAAATGGAAGAACTGAGAGTCAGACTGTTTCCTCCATCCACATTACTGATGGAGTGCGTTACTCCTGCGGGGGGGTGGGGGGGGGGGGAGGCAGCGAGAAGAAAGAGGACTCCCACGTGGCCAGGCCTGCACCTGCCTCTCATCTGCATCCTGTCTCTGCAGAGGCCCAGCCAGGTGCTTCATGCTGTGGGCACAGAGCACGTCCGTGGGCATGGAGTGGACCAGAGCCACTGAGTCCCCTTAAAAAGACCATGGGGGCTGGCACTGTGGCACAGCAGGTAAAGCTGCCGGCTGCAGCACCTGCATCCCATATGAGTACCAGTTCTTGTCCTGGCTGCCCCCACTTGCCATCCAGCTCCCTGCTAATGGCCTAGAAAAAGCAGTGGAAGATAGCTCAGCCCTGGCCATTGGGGTCAACTAGGGTGTGAACCAACAGATGGAAGATCTCTCTCTCTGTCTTTCCTTCTCTGTAATTCTTTCAAATAAGTAAATACATCTTTAAAAAAAGACCCATGATTTGTTTGAACATAACTAGTTTATTCTTTAAATTTTATTTATTTGAAAGGGAGAGAGATCTTTCATCTGCTGATTCACTACCCAATTACCTGCAACAGCTAGGGCTGAGCCAGGCGGAAACCAGAAGCCAGGAACTCCATCTGGGTCTCAGCTATGAGTGGCACAGCCTCAGCCACTTGAGTCATGACCTACTGCCTCCCAGGGTGAGCATTAGCAGGAAGCTAGATTGGAAGCAGTGCTGGGACTCGAATCCAGGTACCCCAATATGGAATGAGGACATACCTGGTGGCATCCTGGCCACTGTGCCAAATGCCTGCCCCCTGGTTTACATTTTTGGTCCCCAAGATCCTTAGGCAGAAAAAGCGCCATATTTTTCTTGTCTGCTTTTTCAGTCAGCACAGTGGACTTCCGAGCCAGATGGCAGGGGCGTAGCTTTGTGCTAGGATGATGGCTGACCCTGGGTGGGGAGGGGTGGTGGCAGAAGACCCTGTCCTGAGGGACAATCTTGCCTGGTGGACACACCAAAGGCTGAATTCTGTGTTAGACGCCAAGTGCTTTTGAGGTGAAGGCAAGGGACAGCTCAGTTTGGGTAGAGTGGGGAGTGCACAGGGGAGGCCCTCCCAGCTGGGGGCAGGTTTGAGACGGAGCCTGCAGTGTGGATGACCTGGATCAGGCTGTCCAAGAAGGGAAGCGAGGAAGGGACAAAGGCATGAATCAGGGCACAGGGGCTTTCGTGAGCACGGACACAGGGCGACGGGCTCGACCCTTCCAAAGGTTCTGAAAGGAAGGAGAAAAGACACAAAGGGCCAGGTGGTGGCGAGTCATTGCCAGGCTGAAAGGATTCCACCAGACCTGGCAGGTATCACGTAATAGTTAGGCCTTCTGGGGCAGGCATTTGACCCACGGACTAAGACATCACTTGGGACAGCTGCAGCCCACACTGCAGTGCCTGGGCTCACGTCCCAGCTCCACACCTGATTCCAGGTTCCTGCTAAGGTGCACCCTGGGAAGCAGCAGTGATGGCCCAAGTTCTTGGGTCTCTCATCGATGTGAGAACCTGGATTGGGGTCCAAGCTCCCGGCTTCAACCTGGCCCAGCCTTGTCTCACTCTTTCAAAAACATTAGTAAAAATTGATACTTACGGCTCTTATTAACTATCTTATTGCAACTGGCATTCATCAGGTGTGTACAGACATGGGCCATATTCACAGGCACTACTCCAAGCACTTTTCAAGTATGAATTCCTTTATTCCCCAGGTGAGAGGGTCAAATGAGGTCATGAGGGCACAGAGCACCGAGAGGCATTAGCGTGGCTGACAGCGCTATGCTACCCAGAGCGTCTGGCAGACGGGGCAGGAGGGTCCTCCCGAGTGGCCCAGGTGTTCCCCTCATCCTGGGAGGTGCTAAAGCCCTGATGGCCCAGGCTTCTTACCGTCCAGTTCCAGTTTCTTCCTCTCCACCTCTTTCTTGTACTCCTCCAGCTCCTGGTCAGTGAGTTGGCTGAAGGGGTTGGGCACTGTCTCCTCTGAGTCATCTTTGGTATCTGCATCGCCCTTGGACATCAGCTGGCTCTCTGTCGACTGAAAGTTAACCACAGAGTGTGTGTTGCTCTCTGAACGCTGCTGCTGGGGCCCCGGGCCCGCGCTTCCTTCCAGACTCAGGTGGCTGCCAGTGGTCTGGCTAGGGACAGCGTGGCGTGCAGCTCCTTGCACACAGCTCAGGGCCTTGTAGCAGGGTTTGTTCGTTCCTCCCCATTGCTACCTCCCCTCAGGCCCCGATTTTGCACTGCCTGGATGAACACAGGGGATCTACTCTCTGCCCCTGAAATAAAATCAGATGCTTCCAAGCAGAAGGAAGACACACCTTTATTGCATTCCCTGCTATGGACACTGCCAAGCCATCGCGACACAAATACAGTTGGTGTCCCAGAGTCAGCCAGCCAAAGCCCAGCAAGCGTAGCACTGGCTCAAGCAAGCTCCATGCCGGCCTCCCCGCCCCCACAGCAGTGCAGACCGCAGCATGCAGCAGTAAGTCATATGTGAAACACGGCTTCGGCGTTCTCAGCACAGATTAGTCCTGTTTTGCACGCAGTCGTGAATGACAAAGGGGCCAAGCTTCTGAGACTCGGATCTTCAAGCTGCCTGTACCGCAGCTCCCTGCAGGGCCTGCAGCTCTGTGGAGCCCCTGACTCTGGGGAGCTGACCAGCCAGCCAGTGTGCAAGCTTCGGGCATCCTCAGGCTTTCTAGCTAAGACAGGGACTGAAATCCAGACCCCGCGGCAGCCCTTCCTCCCGGTTCAGCATCCTTGTCTTGGCCTTGAGAAGGCAGTGCTCGGAAGCTGAGACACAGCAAAGGGACGCAAGGCTGAGAGGAGGCGGGCCCGGGCAGCCAGCCCGCTGCGCCCTCCATCCTCCCTTCCCCGGCCAGCCAGGTCTCCTCATGACAGCCCCGTAGGCTCCCCCCAAAGGGAAGCAGTGGCAGGCCTACTTTAAGGGAATCACGGAGAACCCAAGACCAAGCTCCCAAGAAAAGCGACTCCACGGAGAGCATTGACTTTAAATGGCAGAGCTGGTTTTTGACAATTTTGCTCATTGTGCTGAACTCCCACCTGCCCCCACCATCACGGGCGAATTCCACCCCTGACCCCATGGCACACTGAGTTCCCTCACCTCGGCTGGGTGGGGCGGGATGGGGAGGAGGTGGGCGTGCCACCGTAACCTTCACACTTCTCCTGTCAGTGCGCACCCGCCCTGTGGGCTGCGGCCTGATCTGAAACCATTACGGCAGCGCCGTTTGCTCTGCAGAGAGGAGCGTGTCCCACATTTCCCCAGCTTGTGCTGCTTGCTGGGGAAAACGCCACAGCCACTGCCACCTTGCGATGGGCAGGAATGAGGCCAGGCACAGCCAGAATTCGGAACTCCACCCCCCCCCCTTTGCTAAGCACTAGACAAAACACACCCTGTCTCAAACACGAACACGACTTCACTCTAACTATGTGGGTTTGTGTGGGCAACGAATTGTCCCTTGCCACCTTGAGTCCAGGAGCACCTGGCTGCATGGCCCCTCTCCGTGGGGGACACGGGCACCTCCCCAGAGCTTGGGCCTGATGCTCAGAGGTCAGAAACACTCAGGGCCCAGCAGACCCGGAGCACCCGACAGCCACCAGCCACACAGCCCAAGTGCCCCTTCGCAGGGCACTAATGGAGGCCAATGAGGAGCTCCTTGGTGGAAGGTTTGGAGCGGCCGGTGTCACTCCTGGGAGTGGATCGGCTGCGGCGCCCCTTCCCAGAGCCCAAAGCGGGCAATCAGAGATGGAGGAGCTCACAGCACCCAGGAGCTAGAGCTCCATTTTGCAGTGCCACGACCCCAGGGGCAGGTGAGGTAAGGACTCAGGGCTCCTGCTGCCCAGCCCCCGGCTCTGCGGACCCAGAGGGCAACCACGCTTCCCCTCCAGCCAGGGGCGGCCTCTGCTGTACCGGGCTCCGGCTCTTCTCGGAGATGACGCTGGCCAGGAGCTGGGACTGAGGCCCCGCCGACTTCACGTCCTGTCGGTTCTGCTCTCGGATCTGTAGGGGAAGGGCAGAGGGACAGTGAGCCAGCTGGGCAGTGTCCAGCCCGGAGCCTGGGAAGGAGCCCCAGCATGGGGGTGGGGAGCCCGCCTCCTGTTCCCAGGTGGTCCATCGTGCTGCGGACAGAACTCCAGGAAGGTAGTTCATTTCAAGTACCAAAAGTAGATCCTGGAAGGACGCTCCCCAACTTTAATCTCCCTAAGTGGACGATCCCGGGGCCACCCCCTACGTAAAGAACCTCAGTCTCTTGGGTGGGAGAGTGACTCAGGAATCTGGACTGTATTTTTGATATAGCATTTCATTCTGAAATTCTCTTTCTTCATATATTTCCAACCCACTCTTTAAATTATATAGAATATTTGTGCTTATTCACATACTTAAGCATAACATCATTATTTGATACATGTGCGCAGTGTGAATGCTGAAATCAGGGTGGTGAGCATTTCCATCTCTGTAAATATAATCCTGCCTTAACTACAACCATCAGTTACACATTTCAAAACAACCAGGGAAGAACCGGAAGGTTCCCCCACACAGGAATCTTGAAACAAGTGTTGCAAGGGGGCCTGCCCCACACTGAGGATGGTCCTGTCTCCTACTGGCCTACTGGAGGTGGTTTGATGCAGCTGAAGTTTTTAAAGGAACATTAGAAATATAAGTGAGTGAGCTGGCAGGCAAAGGCCTGGAAATGAACATGAAGGATCTTGAAATCTTGAAAATGAACCAAAAGGGGGCCAACACTGTGGCGCAGCAGGTTAACGCCCTGGCCTGAAGCGCTGGCATCCCATATGGGCACCAGTTCAAGTCCCAGCTGCTCCACTTCTGATCCAGCTGTCTGCTATGGCCTGGGAAAGCAGCAGAAGATGGCCCAAGTCCTGGAAGAAGCTCCTGGCTACAGATTGGTGCAACTCCAGCCATTGTGGCCAACTGGAGAGTGAACCATCGGATGGAAGACCTCTCTCTTTCTCTGCCTCTCCTCTCTCTGTGTAACTCTGATTTTCAAATAAATAAATAAATCTTAACCAAAAAAAAAAAAAAAAAGAAAAAAAGAAAGAAAGAAAAGAAAATGAACCAAAAGGAAAACAGCATAAAACTCGTAAGAACTCAATTTGTGGCAGGTCCTTGAGACACATCTCATGTGCAAAGCATGAAGCAGTTGTATAGGACTACAGAAGGGCAGCACGTAGCACATGTTCCAGGCATAACTGGTAGTCTCTCTCCTATGAACCACATTTTGGGAATTCAGCTTGTGTCTGCAGACCTGAGACGCCCCCTTGTGGGAGAAGGGGGAAAAGCAGCCACCATCATACCTTGTTCCTCATGTCCAGTACTTCCTGGGGGTCGGTATAGAGAGGCACGAACTGGTTGGGGTTTTCAATCCGTATGGGCATGCCACTGCTAGATTTTTCCACCTCGTCAGCCTTCATCCACTGCAAGCACAAGGCCAGGTATGCGTGAGACCAAGGACAAAGGCCCACGAGTCCTCCCCAGGGCTCCAGCCCATGCGGTCTGGGGCCCCCGTCTGCATGGAAGGTGAACAGGCCTAACACCCCTGCTCCTCTCAGCAGAGATGAGCAGCACATGGCCCAGGTGCCCTAGGAGGCCCCCTGGCCAATGGGGAGCCTTAAAGAACCCTGGAGAGGGAGGCTCACAGCCTTAGTAACCTGCTCAGACACGCAGGCAGCCACTGGGCCTCTGTACCCGACAACTCGATTTGAGTTTGGAGGGCTTCATTTTGTTTAATAAGAGAGCTTTTCTATCGGGCTGCCAGCTACTTCTTGGTTAATGAAAAATCAGATTCAGAGTCTGCATGTAAGAGAACGTGCAACAGAAGGTAACTGTCTGTCCTGCCCACTGGCTGGCTTTGCATCGCTCCTGAGCTCCAGCTGTGAGACGCCCATCCCTTGGATTTCTGGACTACCCCCTCCCTGGATGTGGGAGCCAGAAGCAAAGACCAACTGCTCCTGGGTTTTATGCTCTCGCAGTGGCCTGGTCCAGCTCTCCTCTGCAGAAGCCTGCTCCTCAGGCCCCGGAAGTCAGGGCCGAGGAGCAGGAAAGAAGTGGTCAGGGCATCGCTTCCAGGCCTTTTGGCTCAGGTCAAGTGCAGAAGTGGTCAGGGCTCAGGGGGCCTGAGCAGCTGCTCCCAGATGCCCAATACGAAGCCAAACAGGCAACGGGATACAGTCCCACGTTCAGGGAAGACTTGTCCTGGTCCCTCCTAAAGCCACTCAACCCCACCAGCGCAGCCTGCCCCTCCCGCCCCAGGCGCAGGCCTCCCCTCACCGTCGTCTTGGGCCGTGGGCTGCCCATGCTCCTCTGGACCTCGTCGGCCATGTTGACGCGCAGGTAGGTGTTGGGCGTGTTGAGCCAGCGGGTCTTCTCCTTCTGCTGCTTCTGCGCGTGCTGCCGCAGTGCGGGCACCGGGGCTCCGTCCTCCTCAAACACAAAGGCTGTGACCGTGGCCGGGATCTCCACCTCACTTTTGTGTTTGGCTTTCTCTTGAACAAAGGGATGGCGGTACGTGTAGCCTGTTCTGTAGCCCTAAAAAGGACACAAGGACAACTGCTTTCTGTGGGGCTTACGCCAGACCTGACAGGTGATGAATAATGATGCTGACTACTGGACAGGCATTTGGTGAAGCGGTTAAGACACTCCCTGGGACGCCTGCATCCCACACTGGAGTGTTTGGGGTTAAATCCGGGCTCCACTCCCTTGTTTCCTGCCATTGTGTATCCTGGGAGGCGGCAGCTGATGGCTCAAGTACTGAGGTCCCTGCCACCCACATGGGAATCCTGGATGGAGCTCCTGGCTCCTGGCTTCAGCCTGGCCCATTTTCCTACTTTTCACATTGATTTGTAAAGTCTCTTTTTTTTTGTTTTGTTTGCTTGTTTGTTTGTTTTGACAGGCAGAGTGGACAGTGAGAGAGAGAGAGACAGAGAGAAAGGTCTTCCTTTATCATTAGTTCACCCCCCAATGGCCACTGTGGCTAGCGCGCTACGGCCAGTGTGCTGCAGCTGGTGCACCGCGCTGATCCAAAGCCAGGAGCCAGGTGCTTCTCCTGGTCTCCCATGTGGGTGCAGAGCCCAAGGACTTGGGCCATCCTCCACTGCACTCCCGGGCCACAGCAGAGAGCTGGACTGGAAGAGGGGTAACCGGGACAGAATCCGGTGCCCTGACCGGGACAGAACCCGGTGTGCCGGCGCCACAGGCGGAGGATTAGCCTATTGAGCCATGGCGTCGGCCTGTAAAGTCTCTTTTTACACTGAGAATATTAATCTTTGGACTGTCACAGATATTGTAAGTATCTCCTCCATAATTTGTCTTGTACTTTTGTTTATGATGATTAATAGAACTGCAAGTTTTGAATGTTTAATGTAATCATATTTGTCATTACAATTTCAGACTTTTCTGCTATGCTTGACAAGGCTTTTTCCTCCAACACAAGGGCATCAATGAATCTGTTTTTAACACCTCTGAGTTTATTTTTTTTTTCTGAGTTTACTTTTTATGTTTAAACTTTTCATAAGTGAGGAGTTTATCTTACTGAATGGAATGAGATCAAAATGTCTTAGTTTTCTTTCCCAAATGGCTACTAGTCTCTCTCTTCCACACAGATGGATAAGGTGCCCGCTATCCTGTGTGAAATTCTCTTATATTTTGGGATCTATTTCTGGATTCTCTAACACGTTGCTTTGGTTGGCTTGTTCATTCTGCTAATGCCACACTGTTGAGTTACTAACGCTTTATCACACTTGACCTTGGAAGGGGGCAATGGGACTGGTATCACTGATTTGTTTTCTTTCTACAGCATTTTCCTGGCCATTCTGAAATTCACATGGAAGAACATTTTGTTAAGTTATGTACCTTCCAACATTTTTAAAAGAATTATACTGAGTTTATTGATTAATTTTTGGAAAGTGTCTTCTTGGCCCAATGTAAGTTTTCCAAAGAAGAATAAATTACAACTTCTCAGGATTTCAAGTTTTCTCTGCTGTCTATTGGTGAAGTTTTGTGGTTTTCTTTGAATGAGTTTATACTTATGTTTTACGACTTTGCTGCATTTGCAAATAGGATATTGTCTCCCATTATATCTTCAAATCAGTTAATGCTAAAATACAAAAGCAAACAATTTTCATAAGTTTTCATAATTGGCCACTTTAAAATACTCTCATTATTTCAAATTTTTTCAGTTTATTTTATTGGACTTTATAGGCATATAATCTTATTATGTATAAAGAACAATAATCTTGCTTCCTTTACATATTTATACCTCTTATGTCTCACTGCCTTGGAATGAGTTCCAATATTATTACAGAATATTAAATAATGCTGCTAAGAGCCAGAATCACTGCTATGTTTCAAAGTATTACAGAAATATTTCTACTTTTACAATTATCCTCATTCTTTTTTTTAAGATTTATTTATTTATTTGAAAGGCAGAAATTTTTTTAAAGATTTTATTTATTTGACAGGTAGAGTTACAGACAGTGAGAGAGAGAGAAAGGTCTTCCTTCCATTCGTTCACTGCCCAAATGGCCGCAATGGCCGGAGCTGCGCCCATCCGAAGAGAGGAGCCAGGTGCTTTTTCCCGGTCTCCCATGCGGGTGCAGGTGCCCAAGCACTTGGGCCATCTTTTACTGCTATCCCAGGCCACAGCAGAGAGCTGGACTGGAAGAGGAGCAACTGGGACTAGAACCAGTGCCCATATGGGATGCCGGCACCGCAGGTGGAGGATTAACCAAGTGAGCCACAGCGCTGGCCCCTGAAAGGCAGAATTACAGAGAGGCGGCGGAGGCGGGGAGAGAGAGACAGAGACAGAGACAGAGAGAGAGAGAGAGAGAGAGGTCTTCCATCCACTGGTTCACTCTCCAGATGGCCGCAATGGCTGGAGCTGTGTCAATCTGAAGCCAGGAGCCAGAAGCTTTCTCCTGATCTCCCACATGGGTGCAGGGACCCATGGACTTGGGCCATCCTCTACTGCTTTCCCAGGCCATAGCAGAGAGCTAGATCTGGAGTGGAGCAGTCAGGACTTGAACTGGTGCCCATATGGGATGCTGGCACTACAGGCAGAGGTTTTATCACTACACCACAACGCCAGCCCCATCCTGACTCTTATTTTGAAAGAAGTCATGTTAAATATATGCCCTCCTATCCTAGTTAACAGTTATTATTTGTATAAACTGTTGTGAAATGTTTCTCAACTACTTTTTGATAATTAACATGATCAAAAGGTTTTAAGGCTTTGATTCTTCAGTCTCATGGAATATCTGTATATTTGAAAGAACTTTAACATTCAACCACCCCTGAATTCTAATAATGAATCCTCACCTAGTTATTGTGTTTTATTATTCCAGTGTTATACTCAGTACTACTTGCTAGTTTCCATCAACATTCAAAGCAAAGTTTCTCTGAATGGGTCATCATTGTTATGGCTTAGTGGTCTTTGGGGGCCTAGGGGCCAGGCTTCCATGGACTTCCACAGACTGGCCTGGAAGGGTAAGGAACTCACCAGGTTATCCAGCATCCTCATGAGGGCCTCGAACTCGTGCTCCCCAAGCCGGCTCTTCTGCATGGGCCCGAAGGTGCTCCCTGCCCACTGCACAGAGCCCACCTCGTGTGGCTGGTGCTTCTCCTTCTCCAGCAGGATGAGGTTCTCCACTCCCCCGGCGCTGGGCAGAGCCGACACCTGCAGTGGGAGCAGAGGCTCAGCCACCCTTGCAGGGGGTCCCTGCACTCACCTCTGCTCCTGTAGGCAGTGGGAGCGTGGGGGCCATGTGGGAGAACCTACAAACCAGGAACGTCTGGGAAACAAACCAAGGGAAAGCCACCTCCGGCTTGCTGGGCATGCACTCCCTCCCAGGGAAAGAGGTGTGGATAGCTTATTTCCTGATGTCAGTTCTCACACACGACACAAGGAATTGCAAAGTGTTAAACCTTAAGAAGGAATAATACAGAGGACCGCCAAGCTACCTGGGACACAGACACACTTGGCATTGTGGCTGTTTCTGTGTGTGTGCTTGAAGGAGGGGATAGGAGATCAGAAAGGGCTCCACAGGGATTTCTGTTCTTATCTGTAACATATTCTTTCTTTTACCGCAAAAGGCTGTATTTTTTGTTAGATTTGAGTGGTGGAAGGTGGGCATCTCTTGTGTTATTCTCTGCATTTTTCTATGTTTGAAATATCTCCTAGGCTTTTTTTTTTTTTTTTTTTTGACAGAGTGGACAGTGAGAGAGACAGAGAGTAAAGTCATTATATGTGTGTTTGTGTGTATGTATATATGTGTGTGTGTATGTATGTGTGTGTGTGTGTGTATATATAGCTAGTTTCTATGACAATGAAATTTGAGTGTGACCTGATGGGCTGGGCTGATAGTTTTTTTGTTTTGTGTGTGTGTGTGTGTGTGTGTTTTTTTTTTTTTTGTTTTTTGTTTTTTGTTTTTTTTGACAGGCAGAGCTAGATATAGAGAGAGAGACAGAGAAAGGTCTTCCTTCCACTGGTTCACTCCACAAATGGCTGCTACGGCCGGTGTGCTGCGCTGATCCAAAGCCAGGAGCCAGGTGCTTCTCCTGGTCTCCCATGGGGTGCAGGGCCCAAGCACTTGGGCCATCCTCCACTGCACTCCCGGGCCACAGCAGAGAGCTGGCCTGGAAGAAGAGCAACCAGGACAGAACCGGTGCCCCAACCGGGACTAGAACCCGGAGTGCCTGTGCTGCAGGCAGAGGATTAGCCTAGTGAGCCAAGGCGCCGGCCTGGGCTGACAGTTCTAACAGAGCATCACATCCTCCACAACAGGGTTAGGTGGCCAAGGACACCCAGAAAAAAGAGGCAGAGGAGGCGGTGATGGTGCACAGCCAGGCTCTGTGCAGGGTCAGAGGGCGTTCACGCTGGGGCTGAGACTGTCCAGGTTCTGGGGAGGGGACAAGGCAGGTGCGTGCAGGCAGTGGACTCTGAGAATTAGGGTGAAGGTTGTGTGTACAACAGGCGACTTCAGCATGATCCTAGAAGACACTCACTGGTCTAACCAAACCCCAGTTTTCTAATCCCACGCTCAGCTGATGGCAGTGGTGATGGATATGCAGGAATGAACAGAATGTACAGGAGCCGCTCCCTCCCTGCCTCCCCTATGCGTGGCTTTTGCCTTCTTTAGTTTTAGTTACCTGGAGTCTACAGCAATTCAAAATTATTAAATGGAAAAGATCCACAGTTCCTAAGTTTTAAAGTACATGCATTCTGGTGGCATGGTGAAATTCTGCACCGTCCTGCTCTGTCCAGCCTGGGCCGGGAACCATCTCTGCTCAGCACATCCACGCTGTATTCCCCATCCGCCCATTCGGCCCTCAGAGCTGTCTCTACCTGATCCACTAGCGGAGCACTGCAGGGCTCATGTTCCAGTAGCCCTTGTTCCAATAACAGCCCCAAAGAGCAACAGTCGTGATGGCGGCAACCCGGAGGCGTGGAAAAGCAGCTGCAAAGTGCTTCCTCTATGGGAAAAGGTGTAAATGCTCAAGCATCTGCTGAGGTTGCTAAGATCTACCGTAAGAATGACTCTCCCACTGGTGAGAGTGTGGAAACAGAAAGAATTTGGGCTGGTTTTGCTGCTGCACCTCAAACTGCAAGTTTCCAGCAGCGTGTGCTAAGTGTTCAGCTCGGATGGGAAAGGCATTATGTGGTAGGGTTTGGCACTATCTGCAGTTCCAGGCACCCACTTAGGGGCTCACAATGTATCCCTCATGGGTAAGGGAGGACCCCTGTACATTCCATGTATCCCCAAATCGCCACCACCCAGCTGTTAAGTGGTTAGGAGGTGGCTTCCTGGGTAAGTAAAGCTAGAGTGAGAGATGGGGGCCTTTGAGTAGTGGAGGCAGTGAGCCAGGTATTTTGTGCTGCAAATGAACACGTTAGCCTCGTGGGTAAGACTGGCTATTCCTTGTAGGCTTGCTGACCCTGCGGCAGCTGCTCTGATGATATAGACCCTCAGCGTCTTGGTGCTGTTTTGATATTTTTTTAACTGAAAACAAATGGGTGTAAGTTAGCCCACTGCCCGTGCAGACACGTGAACCTAGGATCCAGGCAGAGCCTGGAGTGTATGAAACTCAAGGGTGTTAACAAGCACCCCCTGTACCTCTCAGGGCTGAGCCAGGATTTCTCTACCTGATTCCCACCACCGTGTGCAGAGAAGGGAGCAGGAACACTCCCCTCACCCTGTTCATCCAGACTCACGTCTGCTTGAAGGCCAAGCTTGCCAAGATAGCACTCAAGGGCAGAGACGTGCCTGCCGCCTCGGTGCCTGTCACTCACTCCCTGTGTGACGCTGGGCAGCCAGCTCTTTAGCGCCTCCATGCCTCAGTTCCCTCGCCTCTAGAGCGGAAACAGCAGCACCTACCCCGTGAGGAGGCTTGCAGGCAATGGTGGTAGAGCACCGAGGACAGCACCCGCTGTTTCGGAAGTGCTATAGAAATGACTGTGATAAATGACTTTGAGAAGCGCTAGCCCTTGGAGACCAGTCACTGATGGAGACGACGGAGAGAGGTCCGCCCACAGCCTTGCAGGCACTGCCTGCTCCCACCTCCCTCTTCCTCCACCGGTTTCCATGGCAATGGGTAGCAGATGGAGGAGACCTGCCTGAGCTTCTTCCCATCTGCCTCTCGGCCAAGCAGGAGCTGCTTCTCTCGGCTGGGGATGACCCAGTTTTCTGTTCTCTATGCTCTCCAGATTGATGGAGAGCAGAGAACACTGTGCCCTGGAGAATGGAATAGACTCAGCCTTGAGCCACGGACACGCCGAGCACCACGTTTGCCTGTTTGCCAAGGTCACTGAGCAAGCAAACTCAGTCCACAGTGGAGACAGGACATCTGTGCTGCCTGCTCCACCCAAACAACCCGGCCGGGACCGTCACCCCCGTTGCACCTGCAGAAGCGGCTCTCTGGCTCTTCTATGTCCTAATCCACCCATGCCCCGGTCTAATCTTTCCTGTTTTTCTTCCACATCTTCCACTTCTATTCCCCACCTCTAGAAGCCTCTCTGCTCCAACAGCTGGAAAAAAAAAAAGTCATTGGAGCTTTGCTGGGGGCCATCTGCCTGCATCACCTGAGATTCTCTAACAGGGTCAGGAAAAGACAGTGACAGCTGCAAGAAGGGCTGTAGGAAACAGCGGCCGGCAGCTCTGCCCTTCGACCACAGACTTGGTTCTGCCTTTGGTGACTGCCCAGTGGCCAATTCTGCGGTCTGCAGCCTGCGAGGGGCACACTTCCCTGTGTGGCGGCACACACGGGTGTCGCTCTCCATTTCCAAGGCTGGCTGCCTTTGCAGAGACAGCATTTGTTCTTGAGCTGTTTTCTCCTGGAAGCCTCTTTTCCAGAAGATGGGGAGCTCTTAAGAGTCCAGACGAGGGGAAGGCAGAGCACTTCCCTTTATAGCAGGCGGTGGCCGGAGTTCAGGGCCAGCAGCCCTAGGTGGAGGCAGGGCAGGGAGTGCCTCCCACCTCAGAGGGGCACCCCCTGGGTCCTGTTCTGACCAGTGTAGTTTGGGGCAGAGGGGTCTCCCAACTCTTCATCGTTGTCTTCACAGTTGTCCTCTGGACACATTCCTTTAAAGGCCACTGACAGGGTACCCCCGTGGAGCCGCCACTGGCCAATGCTCCCGGGTCCACCTTGTTCTCCCTCGGGCCGTTCCTTCTACAGGTTCTGCTCTACCCAGGCCAGCCAGCAGAGGGCAGCCACAAGAGGGCAGAGAGGACACTAAAAGGCCCCTGCCAGGAGCTGACTCACCCTGCAACCAGTCCTCCTAAAAATACCCCGGGCACACCTCTCCCCTTCTGAACAACCCCGTCTCCACAGTGAACCCCTAAGCCCCATGTGTACAGTTGATGAAACAGGTTTGTGGAGGACAAGACCCCTACCCAACAGCACAGAGCCCAGAGCTGGAGCCATCAGCCGGGTTAGCAAGTCTCTTCAACACATTGCAACTTGCCACACCGGAGTATATGTATGGCTTATCCGACAACACCTTGTTGTCTATAAAACTACAGATTTGTCTCTTTTCTACTGCTTCTCCACCAACTCCTCCAGGGGCTGTGTGGTCACTGATCTCTCTGTCTGCCCTACCTAATGAGCTAGGGGACTTTGTGAAGGGCTCCCCGGCATCAACATGGGGCTGCCCTGGCTGTTTGGGCTCTTGGGTCAACATTCCAACCTGCCTGCTCTCTACCTCTCATTTTGAATTTGACCATGTTCCTGGCCTTTGCAAAGTCCCTAAGTTCATACCTCCCAAAAGAAAATCCACCTGTGTGTGTATTGGATACAGCTAGGTGTTGCAGGTACACCTTGGGTAACAGGAGAGCATGGTGAGAACTATTGTGTGCCTATATCAGTGTCTCCCATTGACTGTGATGAGTCCCAGGAGCACCCTGTCCTGGGAAATGACCCTCAAAAGTTGGGTGCAGATTGTTAAGACAATGGGGATGAATTTTTCAAATGCACAGAACTGATTCTAAATGTAAAACATTAAAAGTATAGGGCACCATGGCAGAGAAACAGGGCAAGGGTTTTAGACAGCTGGGCACAAAGGACTTCCCGAGCCAAAGCCGATGGAGCCACCGCCTTCTCCACTTTCTCCACTTCCCAAGGAACTCACTCACCTGGATCTCACATGCAGCCTGCAGGTGGAAGATCTTATAAAATGCCTCCTCCACGGTGTCCCCTAGAGCAACCACCCCATGGTTTCTTAGCACCAGGATCTGTGGAGGAGTAAATAATCAATTAGACTGTAAACATCCCAGACTTTACTAAGAGGGAGAGGCCTTTCATTTCATTTAGATCAATTTCCACGTCCAATCCCAGGTCCCCCCACCAACTCCTTATCCTTATCATGTAGCCCTACATGTAACTGCAACACAAAGCATCCACCCAAGGAAGTGCAAAGGTGTTCCGAACCTGAGACCGAGTAGCTTGTTTGATTTCTTTGGCCAATGCCTGAGTTGTTAGTCTTAGAAGTCTGAAAAACTGGCATGTATGTTACAGTGTGGGAAATGATCTCATGTGCAACGGAAAGGTCCAACCGCCAGAGCAGGATCCTGCCCCCAGCCTTCGTCAGTTTGGAGCTCAGGACCCCAGGGGTGGTTCTCTAGGGGCTGACTCTGCAGAAACAGGTGTGTCACATCCCTTCTCTGGGCTCCAGCAGGCTCTGCCAGCTCCAAGACCCCACCGGTCCATGAATGACGCCATCGTGGCCTTCTAATCCAAGTCACTTGTATTGCGGAGGAGGGAAAAGACGCGTAGAGAAAACAAAAGCCTCCCAGATTATCAGGGGAAGAATCGGAACGAGAGCCCAGCAGTTTGCACTACTGGTGCAATGCTTATGACTCTGCCAAGGGCCATGGGATAAAACAGGACAAAAACCAGATGCAAATTTATACCAGGAGCACGACTTGCTAAGATCCAAGGGCACCTTCTGTGCCAGAAGCTTTTCTTGGTTGGTTTTACATTCAAGAACTCTTTGAGGCCGGCGCCGCGGCTCACTAGGCTAATCCTCTGCCTAGCGGCACCGGCACACCTGGTTCTAGTCCCGGTCGGGGCGCCGGATTCTGTCCCGGTTGCCCCTCTTCCAGGCCAGCTCTCTGCTGTGGCCAGGGAGTGCAGTGGAGGATGGCCCAAGTGCTTGGGCCCTGCACCCCATGGGAGACCAGGAAAAGCACCTGGCTCCTGGCTCCTGCCATCGGATCAGCGCAGTGCGCCGGCCGCAGCGCGCCGGCCGCGGTGGCCATTGGAGGGTGAACCAATGGAAAAGGAAGACCTTTCTCTCTGTCTCTCTCTCTCACTGTCCACTCTGCCTGTCAAAAAAAAAAAAAAAACAAAAAAAAAACTCTTTGAAATGAGGTGATGTCCCCCTGGAAGCTGGGGTATCAATCCTTAGGTAAGTTGGCAAAATTAATGAGTGAGTGTGAGAGCACTACATTTGGAGAGAGTCTCATCTATTAGACATGGGGAGGAGGCAGCCAGGTGGGCAGGGGCCAGAGGTCGTCCCACAATGGCACTGCCTAGGAATCCAACCTAAGATGCAACTGGAAGGATCTGCATCCCGGTGTTTTTATATTAAGAGAATATTCAGGGAAAACATCCTCCTAATTTTAGCAATTCACACAGTGACGTTTTATTTAAAAGAGTGGTAGAAAAAATTCCTAGTGACACATAAAGGCATTTGCAGGGCTGGTGCTGTGGCATAATGGGTAAAGTCACCGCCTGTGGCACTGGCATCCCATATAAGTGCCAGTTCGAATCCTAGCTGCTCCACTCCTGATCCAGCTCCCTACAAATGTGCCTGGGAAAGCATTGGAAGATGGCCCAAGTCCTTGGGTCCTGCACCCACGTGGGAGACCCAGAAGAAGCTGCTAGCTCCTGGCTTTGGACCGGCCCAGCTTTGGCTGTTGTAGCCATTTGGGTAATGAAACAGTGGGTGGAAGATCGCTCTGTCTTTCCCTCTCTCTCTCTCTCTGTAACTCTGCCTTTCAAATAAATATAAATATATAAATATTATATATATATATAATATATTTATATATATATGGCATTTGCTGTCTATTACTAAAGAGAAAAAAGGAGAACTTACTTCTTGGTCCTAGCTTTGCAAATACCCTGAGTATACTTATGCACCAAATCTCAGAGTAGCAGGGTAGACTTTCTCTTTTTTCTTTTGATTTGCCTGCAACTTTTATAGACTCGCACCGAACGCACATCACTTTTGTGACTTGGGCTCTCGGCAGGGCCAGCGCAGGTGCCAGCCCGGGACGGCAGAGCTGACCTTGCAGGTGGGTCCAAGGCACTTCTGCAGGTTGATGCGATCGGCTTCTTGCTCCATTTCCCCAATGAAGTCGTAATAGGCCATGTCGCCCACCAGCAGGGCGTTGTGGGAGACAGGCAGGAGGCCCCACTTCATGGCTGACACCTGAACGGAGACAACAGGAATGGTCAGCCGGGCGCTGTCACATCTACCCTTTCCTCCATGGGCTGTCCAGTTCTGTGCTGGGGACCCATGATAGGGGTTGGGCAGGCCCGTGAGAAAGGCCCTTGGGTCCTCCTGCACCCAGCTCCTGGCTGCCTTCATGCGCTAGCTCTAACGCCTTTCCCTTCATGTTTCACGGCAGCCATGCCAACATAGCACCTGTTCTAACTGCTGCAAAGAATGTATGTGAGCAAGCTATTGCTGCCCCTGCTCCCAGCTCTGTTCTTCTCTTAGACTCCAGCAAGAGGCAGGTGTGGCAGAATTAGCACTAGGCTGGGTGACGCAGGGCCTGCTCCCCTGGGATACGGCCACACCCCCTCACTAATAGGGAGGCCCACCGAGAAGCCTCAGGCTGCAGCCAGGGCCCAGGGGTAAAACACAGGTGCAACCCCCCCACCCCAAACACACACACACTTCTTGTTGAAAGCAAGGAGCAGGGAGAGGCCACAGGAGGCCTGCCCTCCCTGCCTCGCTCTGGCCCACACATCAGCCCAGTGCTCTGCAGAGGGCACATGAGGCAAAAATGCATCATTGAGGCTGGGTTCAAATTCTGGGAGGCTTCAGTGCTCACAACTGGGAGCTCTGCTCAGAAAACAACAGGCTGAGACGAGTCTGCTCTGCTCCCTGCTGCAGGTGTGGGCCTGGGCGAGCGCTGGGGAACGCCTGGAGCTGGTGGCCTGCTGTCTTTCCAAGTCCATGGCTGTGCCTTGGGTACACCTGGAGACATGACCAGAGATGTCCAGGGCACAGCCTGAACCTCGAGGTTACTCCTTCTGCGCTCTCCCAGTTTCGCCTGCTGCTGTCTCCAGCTCTCAGCCTCCCTTGAGCTATGGTAAAACGGGCGCAGCCCAGGGCCCACCTGCTGGTTTCCTTCTGTCAAGATTTCTCCTCTAGAGCCTGGATGGCTGTGTGGGGGCAATGCCAGCTCAGGCCTGGGTGAAAGGTCCCAGCTTGGGTGTGTAGCAGGCTGGGGGCCACAATAACGCACACTTTCCACATCGTTACCTTATTCCAAGGCTTTGGTGTTAGAGAGACAGAGGGGATGGGGCCTGGCGTGCGGGGAGTTCTCTCGCCTCGCCTTCTTGGCCTGATTCCAGAAGGCCTTTTCAGAACAGTGCTACATCACATGATGAGGCCGCTCCACCTCGAGTGGATTATGTCTTTCCTTGGGGAAAATCTCAGAGAAATGGCTGCCTGGGTGTGGCTGCTGGCTGCCGGGAGCGAGGTGCTGGGAGACATCCACTCACCGCTGCCGTGGCCGGTGTGTGCAGGTGGATGATGCACCGCACGTCGGGCCTGGCCGCGTAGATGGCTGAGTGCAGACAGAAGCCCGCCGTGTCCACCGGGAAGCAGCTGCTGCCCTTCTCCACCACCTCTCCCAGGATGTTCACCTTGATCTGGGCCGGGGAAGAAGAGAGACCTCGAGCAACAGGGCGGTGGGGACCCCTCATTCCTCTCCCAGCAGGTGCCGTTCATTCATTCCAGATGCCAGGAGCAGGGCTGGGCTTGGTGTTGGGGGAACATGAGCTGGCCCCAGGCTTATGGGGGTCGAGTTCCACAGGGAAAATGCAAGCACAGGCGCCAGCACAGTGGCACAGCAGGTTAATGCCCAGGCCTGCAGTGCCAGTATCCCATATGGGCTCCGGTTCAAGACCCGGCTGCTCCACTTCCAATACAGCTCTGGGAAAAGCAGAAGATGACCCAAGTCCTGCACCCATGTGGGAGACCCAGAAGAAGCTCCTGGCTCCTGGATTCAGATCAGCGCAGTTCCGGCCTTTGTGGCCATTTGAGGAGTAAACCAGCAGGTGGAGGATCTCTGTTTCCCCTCCTTCTCTCTGTTACTCTGCCTTTCATATAAACAAATAAATCCTAAAAGAAAAAGATTCTTAAAATCATGCACAGAGGTAAAGAGGAGAGTGTAATGAAGACCCACTTATCCATCACCTGCAACCTGTCTGAAGCACAGTGGCAATCTGCTTTTGCCTCCAAGGGGCTAGGTGCTGGCATGGCTCTTGAAAAATCACATACTTGTGTGCGTGTGCACATGTGCATGTCTGAACACACTCGAGACAGCTGTTGGCTGGCTACGGGGTTCCACACTGAACGTCAACAATGTCACAGACCACCAGCATTACAGAAGGTCACTTTGTGGCTGTGAAACAGCAAGACAAGCAAACACCCATTGATCACTCACACAACAGAAACACTGTGCAAGCCCGAGCATGACCAACACCTCCCTCTCCTGGCGAACGCCAGCACTGCAGCTTCTTTCCCACTGGCAGTTAAAGCGTCACAGAACACTGCCCGTCTCCTGGCTGAAAACTGAAAAATGCCCAGTCACGGAATAACCCCTGTGGCCTGACAGCACGTGACCCAAGGCCACAGCCTGCAAACCACCTGCCCCCAGCCCTGATGCCAGTGTCGCCTAACTTGCTCTCACTGAACTCGGCCCTGGTTCCCGGGCGCCACCTCCTGCAGCTGCACAGAAGAGCGTGAGTTCCCAGCGGCCTGACCTCTGGCAGCAGCAGCAACTCTCCCACCACACGGACCTTGAGCCTCCGTGTCTAGTGATGACGTCTGGCTTCCCTTCAGCCCAGCTCCCCCGCTCCCCTGGACATGTGGCCTGAGTGGAACGCCCTGCCTGGATGGTCCCTCTCTGGTCTCATGTATGGTTATTCCTCAGAACAAACAGGGGCTTGATCCCAGGACCTTCCCTGCTGCCCCCGGCTGCAGATACCAAAACCCACAGACGCGCACGTCTCTCCTGTAAGACGGTATAGCATCTGCCTATCACCTACGCACCCCCTACTGCATACTTCACATCATCTCTAGACTACTCATACCTAACCCAGGCTATACACATAGTGGTTATGCTGCATTGGCAATGAAGTTGTACATGTTTAATACGGACACAATTTATTTTCCAAGAATATCCGGTCAGCAGTTGGTTGCAGCTATGGATACAGAATTTACAGAAACACAGGGAAGGCTGTACTGCCCATCTCATTGTCAGAGTGATCTAGTGTCACTCAAGAACCACCCCAGCCCAACAGGAGAGCCGCTCTCCCACACGCTGCCTCTGGGCAGATGAGAAAGCAGGGCTTGTGGTACGGATGTCGCCATCGTGCTGGGACATACTTAGTGAGTGGAGCACCTCCTCTCCCCATCACCCAGGCTCTCTTGTACAGTGCGCAAGCTGCACAAACACACATGATGGCCTTGCAGTGCGCAAGCTGCACACCCACCCTGAGAATCTCATGCTCCAGACCCCAGAACCTGTATCTCTGACCAGATCTCCCTGACCCAAGGACAACCAAATGTCCACTGACTTCTGCTGAACATCCCCCCAGCTCTTCAAACACAATTCTGTACTCCTTCCCCGCTCAAAGAATCTTCTTCCCAGCTCCCTGTAATAGTCTCACCAGCTGTCCTGATGTCCCTTTGCCTCCAGACAGCTAGCAGAGTGTTCTCAGTACAACAGAAACCCGGCTGCAGCACCCATGTGCCTGCCATACTTCAGGGAGTCTGCGGGTCCAGCAGAATAAAGCCACAACCTCCACCTTGCATGCCATTCATCATCTGGTCCCTCCTCCCAGACATCAAATACCTGAGTCACCCTCAGCCACCTGTCTTCCCCAGTGCGTGGGGATCACGCAGGAGTCTGGGCCTGGTGCACGCTGCACTCCTGAGGGCGTCACCTCCGCCAGACCTTCACCTCATCTAAGTCTGACCGTCCTATGGGCTCAAGGGCTCCACCCCTGCGCCGTCGCTCCCTCCACCCCTGCAGCCCCTTCTCTGGGCCCCTCGAGTTTCCTCGAGCTCTGTCAGAGCACTGTTCACCCTGAGTTTCCATCACTGGGTTCCTGGGCTGGTTTCCACCAGTCTGTTTAGAGACAGAGCCTGTGTCCTCCTGTCGCTGTGGTCCCACTCTTACTCGGCCATCACCTTCTTTGTGGCTTCTGTACATCAGTTACCCTCGCTGGGCAGCAGTGTCCTCTCCCATCTAGAGTAGCCTCGGCCATCCTTGAGGTCCTGCCCTGCCCATGTGTCCTGTGGCTTTGTCAACCCAGATTTTCAGCTAAGGGGCTGGGCCACATGGCCTGGCAGAGTCCCCAAGGCAGTGTCTTCCTCTCCCCGGTGCAGGGCACAGCAGCTGCAGCCCACACATCTGAGAAGTTTGGGGCCTTTTCTGCTCCTAGGACAGTCCTTTCTGCTCCAGAAAGCTTTCAGGATCCAAACCATCTGGAAATCTCTCCCTACTCCAGCTAACAGGAGCAGCGCTAAAAGGGAACCCACAAATGACCTCTAATCACATGCACTTTAGGGCCACATCACTAGGCTCCCCTACCCAACTTCTGTGGTCCCATCCCAGGCTGCACCATCCCAAGAGTTGAAGGCCTCCAGACCCATCTCCTCCCACCCCACCCTCCTGTTAAGCTCACTCCTGCACCTTGCGTTTGCTGTCTTGGTCACATCATATACCAGGTACTCCGGTTGCTTCCCACACAAACAGAACCCCAGACTGCGAGCTCCACCAGGACAGGAGGACAGCAGGTAATATGGAGATGGCCTGTCACTGGAAGAGCAGAGGGGCCACTATTATTTCAACAAGGAGGGTGCAGGGGGACGCCAGACTGTACTCACCAGGCTGGATGCTGTGACTTCACTGCAAGAAACTCCCTTAGGGCTGATCAGGAAGTGGTCCTGCTCCTTGCTGACTCTCAACTGGAGGAGAGACACATGCACGCAGGGATAAGGACATCGCCAAGGATGCTGGCAACATGAGTCCACTGTATCTGTGTCATCCTCCTGCGAATCCTTACCTCTCCCCCAGCCCACGGGAGATGAAGAGGACCCAGGCTTTCCTCAGAGCCAGGGAAAGGGGGCTCCAGGGGGCTCTCACATGGCCAAGGGTAGCTGTAAACCCAGGATCAAGGAGTTCCTGGTCTCCATCCAAAGGACTGCCTACCGGGCTGGTTGTCTATTTCAATGACCCCAGGAAGCGCTCCGTGCATTTTGGCCAGAGGTCACCAGCAGTGCCACAGCCATGCCAAGAGTCAGAGCTTCTCCCTTTGGATTTTGTGGGGGCCACACGCAGTGCCCAGCCCACTCCGAGGTGCCTCCTCACCGTGACGTAGGTGTCGCTCAGCTGGGCCCAGCCGTAGAGGTCCAGGAGCCGGTAGACGCTGCTAATCTTGCACCGCATGAGCCGCTCCCCCTTGGCCAGGTTCAGGGGTTCGGCCGTGTGGAGGTCATTGATGGGCGTCATCATGGAGAAGTCTGCAGGGCACAGGGCAGAGACAGGGCAGTGCTCACAGGGTCGGGGCTCCCACCCACCCTCCCTTCCTCGCTCCAGTGTTCCCCACAACCTCCCTGCCACTGCGACCGCACAGGAGACAGCCAGGCAGGGACGCAAGCGTCGCTGAGCCTCCGCCCAGGGGGCAGAAGGTCCACAGAGCTGGCATTTGTGCCCAAGTTCTGCTCATTTGGATGAGCATGGCATTGCTTTTATAAAAATTAAAATTAAAATTTAAAAATTAGAAACAAGACTCAAGGCCACAGGATGAAAGCTTCCCTAATGCCAAGCTGACCATAAAAACTCCAAGATGGACACTGAATGGAAGTCAGGGTGCATTGTTTCAATGAAGTTGACCTGCTAATACCGTGCTGTTTGAACTCTACCATGCAACAGAGCTTTGCCTGTGATGTGGAGCCAGGGCAGACTGAAGGCCAAGTCAGCCAGGAAATAAACTCAACTTCTCGACAGCTCATGAGCTCCCGGCAGTGGGTCCTGTGGTTGGCTGAAGGGTGCGAGGCCCCAGCGAGCATGCCCGCCTCTCTGGACTGCAGTCCCCGGGGCTATGTGGCAGAGCTTTCGAGATGGACGTGGAGGGTTTGACAGTCTGATCCTCAGGGTGCCCGAAGGGCCCAGGAGGTGGTGTCTAGTCTTTGTCACTAACCATGATGACCGCCGCCTATACTCAGGCACAGAAAGGGGCCTTGTCACTAACCACGATGACCGCCGCCTATACTCAGGCACAGAAAGGGGCCTCCGAGCCCCAGCACCTGGATTAATCAGTGTCTGTGAATCAACAAGGCAATCAACAGGAAGCAATTCCAGCTCAAAAAGACATCTGGCTGGGGCCTCCTGGTGCTGCCTCGCCCAGCTCCCCACTACAAACTGTGGTGGGTGACAATGCCCTGTAAAGCTCACTGCTACACAGTGTGACGGGTGTCCCACAGCAGCCCTGCCATTGGTGGGGATGAGGAGGACCAGTCAGCAAACATGAGCACAGACTGCATGCTGTCACCCAGCACCCAGCAACCACAGCACACCCTGAATCATGTCACAGAGGGCCCTGGCCAGCCAGAGCACAAGTGGACATGGACAGCAGGGCTCCAGAGACCCAGTGAGACAGGCAACAACAGCAGCACAATTCCAAAGCCATGGACTTCCAATTCAAACTGGCCAGTCTGGAATCCCTCCTTCCTCTCAGTGGGGTCCCCAAACAAGAAACTGCTCTTTGCTTCATTCCCGGAAGTACATCAAAATCCTAAGAGCCCAGGCAACACTGGCAGGCAGGGCTGCTGTTGGGACGGTCTTCAGAGTCCTTAGAATCCCCTAACAAACAACTGAGGCACCCCGGGATGGCCAGGAAGCCAGAACGGGTCCGCAGACACTCACACCCCATCAGTCCTCTGCAGCCTGTCCCAGCAGGGTCCCTCCCTCCCACCCTGTGGAGCTGTGGCCATGAGGGGTACCCCACCCACAGCACTGGGAGTCAAGAGAACAGGGGGCTCCCATGGGGGTTCCCCCTCATCTTCTCTTGGAGCCTCCATCTAAAGAACGCCTACTCCGGAAGCCTCATGAAAGTCAGGGTGGCTGCCTGCCACGCATGGGACCCAGATCTACTGGAGGCATTTACTCCGAGGGCCTAAGAAAACACTGCAGGAGATGAAACTGCACCAAAGCCCCTGACAGCTAAGACTAAGACTTTGCCAAACTCCCAAAGTCTAAGGAAAAACAGAGCTACACAGAGAACAACCTATCTGGGCTGAACCCCTGACACTTGGCACCTCCCTCTGCACATCTGCTGCCTCTGCCACTCTGGACGTGTACTGAGCAGGTTTTGAGGCACGCATCCATCTCCCAGGCAGATGCTGGTTGCTCCGGCAACAGGACAAGCATAAGGACAGAAACATGAAAGCCATGAAAGAGAGTGTGACAAAGGCCAGAGAGCCAGCATAGAGCTAACAATATGGATAGGGCAGAAAAAAATTTTCTGAACTGAAGGTGTGAGTACACAGGTTGTAAGGACTTAGTGTTAGAGAACAGGGAAAGTCCGTAAAAAAGAAAAAAGCCTACAATGACATGCTTCTTGGCAGCATTTTTGAAATACAAGGAAAAGGGGGGAAAAATCCAAAAGCATCAACGAAAAGCTGTGGTTACCTTCCAAGTAACAAAAAATAGGCTTCTCTGTTACAGCCACCAAATGCCAGAAGACAATGTTACAGGAGTCTTAGAAAAATGAAGACACATTGAGGCAAAATGACACCAAACAGGTAAGAGGGAAAAGAAGATCAAAGGCTGACTCGGCAAACATAAAGAAAAAATAAGCAGTCGTGATATTATTATCCAAGCAGAAGTCAGGCAAAATAATAATCTCTTGAATCAAAACAAACATTTTGTAAGTCATTTTATATGAGTTATTAAGATACAGTCCATAATGAAGTTACAGCTATAATATACCCTTATGTTATGCTCTGAATAATATTTCACCAAGACAAAGAGAGCAAAACTATCATAAATACAAGGAGAAATGAGCAGAAATCAAATTCAGCAGAGACAACACAATGGTCATTTTTGACAAAATCAAATAGAAATGGAAATACGAATTACATACTCTGACCTAGTCATAATCTATACCCATACATCATTTTTAAATGATCTTATGAGGTCACCAAGAAAATCTCAATAAATCCCCAGCACAGAAATTAAATAAGCCACAGTTCCTAAATGTAGTGCAGTAAAATACAATGTTGTTAACGGATCTTTAAAATAATATACATGCAACCATTCGAAAATGAGAAAACACACTCCCAAATAGCTCTTAGAAGAAAGACAAAGTCAAAATAGTGACTGCAGTCTAGAAATTAACAATAAAGGAAACATTGTTCAAAAATTCAATGGGATAAGTGGCCAGCACTGTGACATAGCGGGTTAAGCCACCACCTGCAGTGCTGGTATCCCATATGAGGGCTGGTTCAAGTCCCGGCTGCTCCACTTCCAATCCCACTCCCTGCTAATATGCCTAGGAGAGCAGTGGAAGATGGTTCACGTCCTCAGGCCCCTGCACCCATGTAGGAGACTGGGAAGAAGCTCCTGGGTCCTGGCTTCAGATAGGCCCAGCTCCAGCCATTGTGGCCATTTGAACCAGTGTATGGAAAATCGATCTCTCTCTTTCTCAAATAAATAAATAAATCTTAAAAAAAATAATCTATGAGATAAATACAAACCTACATTCTGAAAAAAAATTATAGCTTCAAATATATTTATTATTGAACTAAGCATGAAAATAAATCAAATCCATTCGATTCTAGTCATATAAAAGAAAAACATAAAGAAAATTATGGAAAATAGTTAATGAATATAAAAACAAAATGAAGGAATTGGGAAACAGGAAATTTAGAACCAATTAGTATAAGGACTGACTCATGGGATATCTATGAATAAATAATCATCTATGGATAAAAGTATCTAGACTGGTCAATAAAGTTCAACCACATAGCACCAGGAACGAGAACAAACAATCAATGTACATGTAGCAGAAGACGGAAACGCTAAAAGTGGCATTACAAATCACTCTAACGATTTTGAAAAGCTCCATGAAATGGCTTATCTTATACAATCACGTGATAAACATTTACTCAAGAAGCAACAAGCTGGCGCTGTGGCACAGCGGGTTAAAACCCTGGCCTGAAGCGCCAGCATCCCATATGGGCGCCGGTTTGAGTCCTGGCTGCTCCTCTTCCGATCCAGCTCTTGCTGTGGCCTGGGAAAGCAGTGGAGGATGGCCCAAGTCCTTGGGCCCCTGCACCCACATGGGAGACCTGGAGCTCCTGGCTTCTGATCTGCGCAGCTCCGGCCGTTGCAGCCATTTGGGGAATGAACCAGCAGATGAAGACCTCTCTCTCTCTCTTTACCTCTCTCTGTAACTCTGTCTTTCAAATAAATAAAACAAAATCTTTTAAAACAAAAAAGTAACAAAATCAGTTAAAAACTCTAGATGAAATAAAGGGAAAAAATGTTAAAATCCCCTAAAAATGTTCCAGGTCTAGATGGCTGCAAGTGAATCAGCCGAGCCTTCCAATCACATTTAAACTCCACCGCGGGGAGTGGGGGTGAGGAGAGTTCACCCTGAGTCATTGTATGAAATTTAGCTTTAATATTAATACTAGAGGAAGATTATTCAAAAGATGAACTGTTAACCAATCTCATGTGTGACTATAGATGCAAAAATTGCTAATAAAATTCTGACAAATCAAATCCAGAAAAGAGTTTTTAAAAGAATGCATCAAGAGCAGGAGTGATTTATTTCAGGAATGAAAAAAAAAATAGCTCAATAGTATTCAGAAATCTATGACTATAACTCATCACATCAATTGCTCAAGAAAAGAAAAATCAATAAATGCCCAAAATGCATTTTATAAAATTCAACACCCATTTCTGAGAAAAACCCATAATGAACTAGAATGAAAAGACATTTCCTCAACACGAGAAAGAATAATTCTCTCAAACTCTGAGGTAAAAAAATTCCCATTAAAGTCAGAAATGAAACAAGGGTGATTGCTTCCTGATCTCTTATTAGACACTGCTCTGGAAGTTCCCACATACGCAACAAGAAAACTGGAAAATAAGCCAAAGTGAAAATATGGAATGAGGGAGGCAAAATGACCATTAATTATGGATCGATTTACTACACATTAACCCCAAGAAAATTAGTTGGGATAATATTAAAATTGAAATGAAAGATCAATAAACATTTATTTATTTACATTTATTTAAATATTTATATCCAACAATTTTCCTAAATGAGAGTTATAACCAGAAAGAAAATTGAATGGACAAAGACTCATTTAAGGAGACACTACACAAAATTCCCAGAATGAACTTCTTAAGAAATTAATGGGACTAAACAAAAACAACTGCTAAGTTTTTCTGATGGACAGCAAGGAAGACTTAAATAAAGACATGTCTCATTTCTGAAAAGATTTAAAATCGCTTTATTCATACAAGTATTTTTAATTAATTCATATGTGCCAGACACTATTCCAAATCCAAGAGACTGTTCTAGAATACAGCAAAGGCACAGATTTCCCCTGTGGAACTTACATTTTAATACACAATTATAAATGTATAAATTCCACGCCAAAGCAATCTACTCATTTGATAAAATCTCAATCATAATCCCAAAAGGGATTTTTAAGGTTGATGAGGGGAGGAGATTTGACAAAATAATTTTGTTATTTTTAAAAATAAACTTATGGGGCTGGAGCTGTGGCGTAGCTGGTTAAGCTGTCGCCTGCAGTGCTGGCATCTCATATGGGTGCCGGCTTGAGTCCCAGCTGCTCCACTTCCAATCCAGCTCTCTGCTATGGCCTAAGGAAGCAATGCCCCTGCACCCATGAGGGAGACCCAGAAGAAGCTCCTGGCTCCTGGCTTTGGATCTGCCGAGCTCAGGCTGTTGTAGCTATTTGGGGAGTGGACCAGGGGATAGAAGCCCCCCCCCCCTCTCTGCTTCTGCCTCTCTGTAACTCTGCCTTCCAAATAAATGGATAAATCTTTTAAAAAAATAAAAAATAAGGATAAATATATATAAAGAGTTGAGAAAACTGAAGAAAGGGTATGGGTATTTGCCCCACCTGATGATAAACACAGAGAAAGTGCGTCTAAACATGCAATCAAAACCAGAATACACCGAGGAAAACAGCAATGGATTAACCTAAATGGAAATCAAAGAATTTGACCAGACAAAAAAACTCCAGAAGCAAAAATTAAAAGGCAACGGAGAAACTAGAAACCACTGCAATATATTTGATAGATACTGGGGATATAGCCTTATCTTATAAAGACTTAAAAATCTAAAAGAATACACAGGAAGAAAAACTGGCAGAGGATGTGAATAAGCAATCTACAACAAAAAGAAAGCCATGCCTCCTATGTATATGAAGCTATGTAAAATATCCAATCTCATTCCTAGTCAAACAGATACACATTAAAACACAGAGCACTGCTGTCATGGACCCCCTCAGGCAGACGAAGCAAGCTGCACTATGAGCGCACTGCACACCAGGGTATAGGAAACGGGCACTCGCTGCACTGTTGGGAATGTAAAATTGCTTCCATCTTTTTCTCCAGGATAGAGAAAGGATGTAATTTGCTATTATGCATTTGAGTCTTTATAACATTCATGTTCTTTGATCTAGCAATTCTGCGCCTCATAATGTACCTTAAGAAAGCAGTCATGGATAGAATTTGAGATTTATTTACAAGGTTGTTCAATTGCATTACTGTGCATAATAGCAAAAAATTGGAATCATCCTAAATGTCCCATAGCGGCACACTGATCTGAGTGCATGTGCTCATGGGAAATATCACAGAACTGTATTTCATGCTGTGCGAGATTAGTCAAGATAGGGTAAGTTATTAAAATTATACCTACAAAGGGAGTACATTTTTGTTCATATAACCTAGGATTGCTAGATCAAAGAACACAAATGATTTAAAGTCTTTAATTCATGATGGCAAATCCCACCCTAATTTCTGCATCCTGGAGAAAGAAAGAACTAATTTATGTCCCCAACAATAAGACAAAGGCGGGAAGAACGCAGACCAAAGTGTTGAGAACAGCGATGTCCACATTTTCAGAACACAGTACAGTGATAACAATTTGCTTTTTTTTTTTTTAACAACTTACTTATTTCCAATCACAGTCTATTAGTCTTACTGAAGGGCAGCACTTATCAAAACCTGCTTTCACGGGTTGTGGGGAGGGTGTCACAGCCTAGGAAGCTGGGTCTCAGCACAGCCCGAAGCTGGGTCTCAGCACAGCCCTGCCTCCTCTCGTGTGTCTCTTGTCTCCCTCAGTGACGGAGACAAGCTGGCCTGTGTAGTGGGGCACGGAGACTTGGGGTTCCGTGGCCTCTTCCCACCCCTGAAGTCACCTCCACCCTGCCCATCATGGGTAATTCCCCCGTAGGTCTTTAATTCACAGCAACATCACAGAGTCAGGCACCGTCTGGCTACTGTGGAGCGCCCCCAGACCTGTCAATGCAACCGCAGCTTGTGCTGTCGCCCGGCAACCAAGCTGTTGGTGCTCCTCCCTCCCCCTCCCCAACCTCTGCTCCTGGCCGCTCCCCGACACCCAGACACCCACGTACTCATGGAAGACGCCGGGAAGACTGCGTGGGAGGTGCTGGCCATGAAGTCGGCGATCTGCCGCAGAGCCCAGACGTTGGAGGAGTTGTTCCCTTTCTTCATTTGCTCCTGGATGAGGCCTTCCAGCTCCTCCCTGAAAGACTGAAGAAGGCACGCGAGCTGGTCCCCCAAGGCCTCCCCCGGGGCAGACTGGGGACTCCTTGGCCCAGCTGCCAAACCATGAGCTCTAAAATGTAGGAGCCTGCAGGCCAGGGCCATGCTCAGGATCCTTGGGCCATGCCATGACAACCGCAGGGGCCTCCCCAGATAGCTGTGTGGAAAGCCACAAGGCCACACTAGCAGTGAGTCCTTCGCCAAGGCCACCGCTCCCCAGAGCAGCCAGCACAGGGCTTCCCCGGAGTAAGGACAGACTTCAGAGGAAGCGGCCTTTTTGGGCCTCAGCTTCCATATGCACTTAATGAAATGCCAGGAGAACAGTGGAAGGCTCCGGCGGCCTCCGAGGCCCCTTCCGCCTCTGAGGTCCTGCCCTAAGCCTAGCGTTTCAGACCACCAGGCCACAAGCCAGGCACCCCCACCCCACCCCAGGGGCAGGTAAGGAGCCATTCCCAGCCGGCAAAGCCATCAAAGGGCAGGAAGAAGCGGGGTCTCCCCTCTCCTCATCTCTTTGCTGAGGGCCCTGAAACCCAAGCTGATGCACCCTCTGCCACCTCTCCTGCCAATCCCCTTTGTCACCTGCTGAGTTGGGGGCTGCCCAGGGCCCCTCCCCCAGTGCTTTCAGGCTCTTCAAACAGGAAGCCTACCCCCTGGGAGCTCCTCAGCCCAGGGCACCCCAAAGCCTGGGAGCTTGCCCACCCTGAAGCCCACCCTGGGAACCATCTCCATCCCTGGGCTTCCTGAGGACCCCCAAGCCTGGTCCTCATGGCCCCCTGGAACCCCCACCCCCACCCCCGCCACAGACCTGCAGCACCTTCTATCCCAGGGCCCCGAGGCCTACTCTCTGTCCTCCTCCTGCGTCCTGCTGGCATGATCTCTGTGTCCACGCCAGGTAGGCACCAGCTGTCGGCAAGCCTGGGGGACCTGCCCTTCCTCCCGCGGCCCCTTTGCCGGAGCCCGGTGCCCCACTGAACTCTTCGCTCTCCCCACCGCCTGGGGCTTCCCGGCAAGGCCTCACTCTGCGGTGTTCAGTAAAGGGTGCCCCAATTCTCCCCCGTGGCGTCCCCTGCTGGACCCGGTGCACATGAATGTGTCTGCCGTTCCTGTGTCAGGTGAGGAAGGAAGGGAGGGAAGGCTCAGCCGGGCACTCACGGGGCTCTGCAGGATCATGGTGACGCGCTTCTTCTGCTCCATCAGGTTGAAGTCCTGCCGCAGGTCCGCCGCCCGGCCGCGGAGGCGCAGGTACTCAGGCTCCTCCTCAGAGAAGCGGTCGAAGTACTGCTGGCCCTGGGCTGGCGGCGGGGAGGTCGCCTCGGGGACCGGCTCGTCACTCATTTTCCGGGTGGAGCTGCAGTCTGCTCCAGGAACCTGCAGAGGGCGGCAGCGGGCAGGTGGGTGCCCTCAGAGGGGCGGCCTGGGTTGGGTTGCATGCACAGGGGTTGGCAGAGCATGGGGGCGGCAGGGCAGCCGCCCGGTATGCCAACCTACAGGGGGCGCGAGAGCGTCGTCGTCACACCACCCTCCAACCCGCCACCCGCAACACTGGGGTCAAGGCAGTTGGTTTCCTAGCGCAAACAAGACCTGCAGACCTTTCTGAGCACTTCTGGGATGCACGCCTACCTAGCGGAAGGCTATTCACTGGGAATTAGGACTTGGTCTGAAACGTAGCCCCAAGCCTCCTCGGAAAGGACAGTGGGAAATTCTCGCCAGCATGCTGCTGCGCAGGGTAGGAGTCGCTTTGCTCCATGTTTTGCTTCAGAACTTGGGCTTTGCTCTGGCCCCTGGAGAGGAACCGGCGATGATTTTGTTTCTGTAGAAAGTGTCTTCACGCAGAATTGGATTCTTATTCCAAGCTTCATAAAGAGCAACGCCATGTTTATTAATGGAAAATTATTTTCTCTAAAACACCACTAAATCCATGCTGAGAAACAAAGAATAGATACTGTTTGGAGGGTGCCAAGAGGCCCGGTGCCCCGCGACCCCGAATCTGGACCTGCTCCCTGCAGTGAGGACCAGGCTGGGGAAAAGCCACATCTGTTCTCTGTAGCTGCACTCCATGGCAAACGTAACTACTGAACAAGGGGTGTCTGCTAGCCTATACCCTGAGCCTTTCTGCCCATGAGCCGAGGCGCTTTCCTGGCTGGGGTGCCTTCCCAAGCCAGTCTCCCTTTGTGGAGCAACACTGCCAGACCCCCAAGTTTGTGTTCCATTCCTTCAACATCCAGAGTGGCCATGGCATAGCTGTAACTCTGTCCTTGCTGGGTGGGTCTCTACTAAGCAAAAAAAGCATGAGCCTTGATTGAACAAAAATTAATTTTTGGACAAATGAGGGTACTTCAAAAAAGTTCGTGGAAAATGGAATGAAATATTTTGATGCAAAAACAAATTTTGAAATCTATGTCTAAATTTTTTCCTAAGGTGTGTGTGTGTGTGTGTATATATATATATATATATATATATATATATATATATATTTTGACAGGCAGAGTGGACAGTGAGAGAGAGAGACAAAGAGAAAGGTCTTCCTTTACCGTTGGTTTATCCCCCAATGGCCGCTGCGGCCGGCGCACCATGCTGATCCGAAGCCAGGAGTCAGGTGTTTCTCCTGGTCTCCCATGCAGGTGCAGGGCCCAAGCACTTGGGCCATCCTCCACTGCACTCCCGGGCCACAGCAGAGAGCTGGACAGGAAGAGGAGCAGCCGGGACAAAATCCGGCGCCCCGACTGGGACTAGAACCCAATGTGCCAGCGCTGCAGGCAGAGGATTAGCCTATTGAGCCATGGCGCCAGCCCCTAAGATATATTCTTTAGGAACTTTGTGAAGACCCCTGGTCCTTATATGCATCGAGACACAATGAGTATTAAATGCCCTCTGACTTACAAAATAAACAAACAAAACCAACCTCTGGACAGAGCCTTGGGGCAGCGTCCTGGCTGGTGGACACGTTGATGTGGCCCGAAATTGTCGCCTGGATTCCGCAAGCCAAGGGCATGGAGGAAGTTCTGTGCACCTCATCCCAGCCCCTGCCCCATGTGTCCCCTGCACTCGGCAGTTCCTGGGGTGGATTCTTTATCAAGAAAAGATCAGTGCAAGTACAGCACTTCCATTGAGTTCTATGAGTCATGCTAATAAATTATTGAACCGGAAGAGAGGTCGTGGGAACCCCCTATATTTATAGCCAAGTTGGTTAGGAGTGCAGGTGGCCCGGGGCCTCCACTCATGGCTGGTGTCTGCAGTGAGGACAGTCTTGCTGGTGACTTGTGGCAGTTAACTTATGTGCCCCAGGGGACGCTCCTGACAGAGGTGAACTGTAGCACAGCCAGCTGGTGACAGAGGACTGGGAACATAAGAGCACCAGGCAACTTCTCTGGCTCGTCCGTTTTCGTTCCCAGCACCACTTTATGAGGTAGATGGTATTGCCCCAGTTCTACAGGTAAAGAAACTGAATCACGAACATGCTAACTTGTCCAAGGTCACAGGGCTAACAGCAGAGTCAGCCTTTCAGCCAGGCCAGTCTGTGGCCTCAAATCCTGCACTTCTCCGCTCCATCATATCATCCCCAAACATCTGCTGGGCTGTCATGCGGAGAGGGATTAGACCGAGTCCCCAGAGCCTCAGGGGCGGTTGTAGTAGACAGGGAGATTCTAGCTGAGGGCGTGAGGGAGAATTTTCCACCAGATGGGAGCTGCTCGGCTCTGGGATGCAGAAGAGGCTGCCTTGTCAGGCGGGGCCCTTCTCCTAGGAGTCAGAGTGCCTACAGGAGGCTGAAGAGGGGCGTCCCCTTGCTGAGGAGAGAGGTGGCGGAGACAAGTGACCGCTAAGGCCCTGCAGATTCTACAATAGCTCCCAATCAGCAGGATAGGGAACGTTAGGGAGTGTACCACTTAACCCCCTGCTAATCCCGATCGGCAGGATAGGGGATGTTCCTGGCAACGACCTGAGTGGCTCCAAGCTCATCCTCATCGGTGGACCCAGTCAGAAAGAATGCATCACACCCATCACCATCCAAAGCCATCAACTACTTACTTAGCAGGAGGCTGGCCAGTCCTGTCCAAGGCCCCTCTCTCAGTCCTCGGTCTGCAACCCCTTCTCCACTCTCAGGGATGCCAGCCACATCTACACAGCCTCAGACATCAGGCAGAACCTGTAAAATATAAACACAGCAGACATTAGGGCCTTGTCTGTACCACCGGGCCCTCAGCCCCATTACTTGAGGGACTGCTGGAAATTCCTAACAATGAATTTCAATTTCGAGTTTGTATCTTCAAAGCAAACTATTTAAAGGCGTGGGAGGGGGAGTGGAAAGGCTTCGTGACCTTTACAATTAGGATCAAATTTCTCTTGAAAGAGGAGAGATGGAACAGGCCTTTGCCAAGTGCTGGCTGGTAAGGCTCAGAGAAAGGGGCTGTCTACCAGGAGGGAGCAGGGTGTGCAACTCTTGCTGCAGCCTGGGAGATGCTGGGGGCTGGGGGGTAAGTTGCTAGGTTAGGAGCCCCCCCCCCCAATACGTATCAAGAAAACTCTGTGCCACAGATGCTGGTGTGAGTGACTTTTGGATGCAGGCCAAGAGACAGAAGCAGCTTGAAGAACATCATAGCCCAGGAGAGTGGGGAGTGAGATCTGCCCAGGCCATGAGCTGTGAACTCAGAGTTCAAGGGGAGAGGCTCTCAACTAATCTGGGGAACAGGACATAGGTACTAATGCTAAGTTGTTAACATCCTACAAACAAGGATGAGCCACTGCTCCCAGAATCCTGGGAGCAGGGGCTTCAAAGGGTGAATCATCAACATTTTTGTTTTAAACAAATAAGAAGGCAAATGATAGCTGTCCATTTCCAGCTGGGCACCCTGTTGTCCATACCCAGAGGTGCCAGCGCCTATGTCACCCAGAGCTGGTGGCATCCCTGGGCACCCCCTCCCAGCCTGTGGCTCTGGGCTCACTCACTGGGCAGCCCAGCTTCTTCCCTGACCCAGGACTGTGCACAGCGGAGCCATTCAGGCAGCCCCACCAACCCATGAGGGGCAAGGAGAGTCCATCCTGGTGGGCCCCTGGGAGAGTCCAGGTACCTGCACACCCATGGAGCACCGTCTCCTCCTCAACCCAGCCCAGGGCCAGGGCTCGCTGTCCAGCTGGGGGCCAGGAAGCTGCTCCCAAGAGCAAGGCCCTGTGCTTGGCATCTCCAGCACCAGCTCAGTTAGGCCCTTGTGCTGTGGTTTTACGTTAGCTGGAACAGGGTCGCAGCTGGTACTTGGTGCTGCTTCTGTCCACCACCCACCAACATGGGTGCCTTCCCTCCAGGGCTGAGCCAGGCTGGGGTTTGCCAAATCACCTGCGCTACCTTCCCGAAGGCCCTGTGGCCACCAGGTAAGTTGCCGTCCCTCAAGTACTGTCATCTTCCCCCTCTCCAGCAGTCCCAGACTCGGAGGCCACAACCTTACTTCTTGGGTCCACTGATAGACTTTTGCTCCAGAAGTGACCGGTGCCATCCATGCAGGAAGGCAGACATCTGTCCCCCAGATAAGTGCATACTGAGCCAAATCACCTCCATCCCAGTCCCCATGGTCCTGAAATTCCATTGCTGCAGCTCCATTCCTTGGGTTACAACATCACTCCCTGGTTCCAAGAAAAACAGCCCTGAAAGGTGTTGGAGGCAAATGGGTGATCTGTAAGCCACTACCCAGTGGCAAGGAAACTGAAATCTCAGGCTGAGCAGGGCCAGCAAGTTTTAGGAAAGGAAAGCAACAGGTGCTTGATGCCAGGGCCACCTGAGAGGGCCCCCTGCACCTGGGGCGGGGCTGCGGCCCAGGGGAATGACCATGACCTAGCCAACGTCCTAGAGCTGACACTCACTGTGGTCTCAAGCCCAGCACCACGCAGCTCCCTGTGCTTCACAGCACGTGCCCTGAGAGCTGGCTCACCCGGTCCCCAGGTGCTGGGGGCCCTCAGCAGAGCTGAGACACAGGGGCAGTGTGAGCCACGGTGCCCCATGGAGTGAGAATGTGAGCCTGATACACACACCCTAGCACAGGGTAGGTCAAAAAACACCAGCCACACAACACATCGGGGCCACATGCTGCCCACTGTCAAGGCACAGTCAGGCTGAGCTGGGAGGAGGAAGAGTTAGGAAGTGGGTTCCAGTCCTTGCTTGCTGTTCAGATGAATCTGTATATTAAAGCATTCGGGGGTCTTGTTCCCTTGCCTGTCCTGAAGATACCTTAAAATCAACCTGCCAGAGGTGAGCATGTGGCACAGCGGCTAAGATTCCATTTGGGACATCAGTATCCCATATCAGACTGCCTGGATTTGAGTCCTGGCTCTGCTTCCAGTCCTGCTTCCTGCTTCCTGCTGATGTGCATCCTGGGAGGTAGCAGTGATGGTTCAAGTACTTAGGTCCCTGCCATCCACATGGGAGACCCAGATTGAGTTCTGGGCTCCTGGCTTCTGTCTGGCCCAGCCCTGGCTGTTACAGGCATTTAGGGAGTGAACTAGCAAAGGAAGAGGTATCTGCCTCTCTTTCCCCTTTCTCCCGCTCTCGCTGTCACTCAGCCTTTCGAATAAATTTTTAAAATAAAACTTTTTAAAAAGTCAACCTGCCAAACAGACCATCACTCGTGCTAACCTCACACCACAGCTTCCCCTAACTCAAGAGCCCCTCCCCTCCCTCCTTGAATGAGGCAGCCTTGACTCCTCCTCCTTATGGTCCTACACATCTAATCAGTCATTAGGCTCTCTGCTTTTTTATGTCCTAAATATTACCCCCATCTCTTCACCCCTTAGATGGTCACTGGCCCATGGCCCCTCCTCTCTTAGGACCACCATCCAATCAGTTACCAGAGTTACTTTTTTTAAAAAAATGCTATTTAATTATTTACTTATTTGAAAGTAAAAAAGAGAGATCTTCTACCTGCTGATTCACCCCCCAAATGCTTGCCACGGCCAGGGTTGGGCCAGCCTGAAGCCAGGAGCTTCTTCTGGTTTTCCCATGCAGTGGCAGGTGCCAAACCACTTGGGCCATCTTTCACTGCCTTCCTGGGCCATTAGCAAGGAGCTGGATTAGAAGTGGAGCAGTCAGGGCAGAAACTGGGGCTCATATGGGATGTCGGCACCACAGGGGCCACTTAGTCCACTATGCCACAACACTGGCTCCCAGAATTTGCCAATGCATATGCAATTTTAAAAATTCAGGGGCCTGCACTGTGCCACAGGGGGTTAACGCCCTGGCCTGGAGCACCGGCATCCCATATGGGCACTGGTTCGAGCCCCGGCTGCTCCACTTCTGATCTTGCTCTCTGATATGGCCTGTAAAGGCAGTAGAAGATGGCCCAGGTCCTTGGGCCCCTGCACCTATGTGGGAGACCTGGAGGAAGCTCCTGGCTCCGGATCGGTGCAGCTCCGGCCATTGTGGCCAACTGGGGACTGAACCATTGGATGGAATATCTCTCTCTCTCTCTCTCTCTCTCTCTGCATAACTCTGACTTCCAAATAAATAAATAAATCCTTAAAAAAAATAAAAATTCAAACCCCTTGGTCAGCCATGGAGCTGTGCCACTCTCTCTGCCCACCCTACCCCCCAGGAGGAGGATGGCCACCAGGTGGAATGAGGTCCCAATCCTGAATGACACTCACAGCCCTGTGGGGTACCTCTCAGTACCTGCCCTGCCCTCCCTCCCTCCCTCCCATTGGTGCTCTGGGGGTCATTTGCAGGACTGGGGAGAGGCAGGCTCTTTGTCCTTTGTGGCACTGGTATCTGCAGGGACACCCTGCCTCTATAACTCCTCCTGCAGCTCGTGTGTCCTCTCCCCCACCCTCGGAGCTGTCCCTACACCTCCTCCCTCTGACTCTCACTTCACTTTTACTCCGCTCTTTCATTCCACTCACAACCCGATGGCCACGATCTAATACTGTGAGCTCCTGGCAGGTGAGGCAGGCATTTCTCTATCCCTGGCGTTGCCATAGGGACTCATGTCATGCACGTGTTGAATAAATGTTAGTTGAACTACAACACAGCTAGCAGTACATTGGGGGCTGGGCCAAGTTTGCAGGGCAGCACTGTCCAGGCCCCAGAGGCAGCAGGGCCTGGGGGAGCTCACCGTACTGGGGGAGAGCAGCCAGGTGAGGTGCCAGGTGTCAATGGAGACAGGCGAGACAGGCACGGCAGGTGCCCTGGTGCCCATATTGCCTTCTCCTAAACAAAGCATCCTTTTGGTCTCCCAGCCCAATGGCTGGCCCCCTCCAGCCTCTCAGATTGCCTGTTTTGATGCAGGATCCCAGCAACCAATCGCAGCTGTCCATCAGTGAGCCCAGCTGTGCAGGGCAGTGTCGGTCATGAGCAGAGAGAGGTCGTGTCTGTCATACACCACATGGAATGCTAGGCAGCCCTCCTGGCTTCCTGAAATTCAGCCTCAGCCCCTTCTCTGATTCTCTCACTCACCCAGGACCCCCACTCTGCTCAGGGGAGCTCTGGGGCCTCCATTTACCATCATCAGTCTGCACCCTCATACCACTGACCCCAGCCCCCAACAGAGACCCCAGTTTGGACTCGCCCCATAGGATAACAAAATCATGAAATCATGAAACCCCACTCCCTGACACGGCATTCCCTTCCCTGGGCCACTAAAGGCAAATACGAGTAAGCCCTGGAGGATGAAATGATATTTCTGTGCATCACTCCTTGTGGCTATGAAAGGAGCAGGAGGGGTAGCAGGGGAGTAGCAGAGGCCCAGATATGCTTCTAAATCTGCCTCAGCTCCATGCACCTGGGGGAGAGGCACTGCCCGTCTACGGCCACTTCAGTGGGAGGGAACCAGTCTGGATCGCTCAGCACCCAAAGACCAACATAAGAAGATGCCACAAGCCGTCATTTCCCAGCTGCCTTTCAAAGCAGGGGCACCCCATGAAAGCCCCAGGCCCTGACCCCACAGGCCAGCACAAGCTTTGCCCCCAGCCTCGGGTTTGAGGTCAGAACCTAAACTCACCGATCCCGGAGTTAAGAGAGGACGCGGTCAGGCTGTGCAGCTGCCAGAGTGCAGAGGAAATGGAGGCAGGGGAATAAAGGGGCTGGACCACACCCTGCCTGCTGCCTTCAGATAAAGCAGAAGCCGGTGCCTCTGGGTGGTGGGACCACGGGGGGCACTTATCATCACC